GTGAGTGGTGAGTGGTGAGTGTCTGAGTGGTGAGTGTCTGAGTGTGAGTGGTGAGTGGTGAGTGTCTGAGTGGTGAGTGTCTGAGTGTGAGTGGTGAGTGTGTGAGTGGTGAGTGTCTGAGTGTGAGTGGTGAGTGTCTGAGTGGTGAGTGTCTGAGTGTGTGAGTGGTGAGTGTCTGAGTGTGTGTGTCTGAGTGGTGAGTGTGTGAGTGTGAGTGGTGAGTGTCTGAGTGTGTGTGAATGGTGAGTGTCTGAGTGTGAGTGGTGAGTGTGAGTGGTGAGTGTCTGAGTGTGAGTGGTGAGTGTCTGAGTGTGAGTGGTGAGTGTCTGAGTGTGTGTGTCTGAGTGTGAGTGGTGAGTGTCTGAGTGTGAGTGGTGAGTGTCTGAATGTGAGTGGTGTAAGTGAGTGTGGTGAGTGTCTGAGTGTGAGTGGTGAGTGTCTGAGTGTGTCTGAGTGTGAGTGGTGAGTGTCTGAGTGTGAGTGGTGAGTGTCTGAGTGTGAGTGGTGAGTGTCTGAGTGTGTGTGTCTGAGTGTGAGTGGTGAGTGTCTGAGTGTGAGTGGTGAGTGTCTGAATGTGAGTGGTGTAAGTGAGTGTGGTGAGTGTCTGAGTGTGTGTGAATGGTGAGTGTCTGAGTGTGAGTGGTGAGTGTGAGTGGTGAGTGTCTGAGTGTGAGTGGTGAGTGTCTGAGTGTGAGTGGTGAGTGTCTGAGTGTGTGTGTCTGAGTGTGAGTGGTGAGTGTCTGAGTGTGAGTGGTGAGTGTCTGAATGTGAGTGGTGTAAGTGAGTGTGGTGAGTGTCTGAGTGTGAGTGGTGAGTGTCTGAGTGTGTCTGAGTGTGAGTGGTGAGTGTCTGAGTGTGAGTGGTGAGTGTCTGAGTGTGAGTGGTGAGTGTCTGAGTGTGTGTGTCTGAGTGTGAGTGGTGAGTGTCTGAGTGTTAGTGGTGAGTGTCTGAATGTGAGTGGTGTAAGTGAGTGTGGTGAGTGTCTGAGTGTGAGTGGTGAGTGTCTGAGTGTGTCTGAGTGTGAGTGGTGAGTGTCTGAGTGTGAGTGGTGAGTGTCTGAGTGTGAGTGGTGAGTGTCTGAGTGTGTGTGTCTGAGTGTGAGTGGTGAGTGTCTGAGTGTGAGTGGTGAGTGTCTGAGTGTGAGTGGTGAGTGTCTGAGTGTGTGTGTCTGAGTGTGAGTGGTGAGTGTCTGAGTGTGAGTGGTGAGTGTCTGAGTGTGAGTGGTGAGTGTCTGAGTGTGAGTGGTGAGTGTCTGAGTGATGAGTGTCTGAGTGTGAGTGGTGAGTGTGTGAGTGTGAGTGGTGAGTGTGTGAGTGTGAGTGTCTGAGTGTGAGTGTGAATGGTGAGTGTCTGAGTGTGAGTGTCTGAGTGTGAGTGGTGAGTGTCTGAGTGTGAGTGGTGAGTGTCTGAGTGGTGAGTGGTGAGTGTCTGAGTGTGAGTGGTGAGTGTGAGTGGTGAGTGGTGTGAGTGTGAGTGGTGAGTGTCTGAGTGGTGAGTGTCTGAGTGTGAGTGGTGAGTGTCTGAGTGTGAGTGGTGAGTGTCTGAGTGTGAGTGGTGAGTGTCTGAGTGGTGAGTGTCTGAGTGTGAGTGGTGAGTGTCTGAGTGTGAGTGGTGAGTGTGTGAGTGTGAGTAGTGAGTGTCTGAGTGTGAGTGGTGAGTGTCTGAGTGGTGAGTGGTGTGAGTGTGAGTGGTGAGTGTCTGAGTGTGAGTGGTGAGTGGCTGAGTGTGAGTGGTGAGTGTCTGAGTGGTGAGTGGTGAGTGTCTGAGTGTGAGTGGTGAGTGTGAGTGGTGAGTGGTGTGAGTGGTGAGTGTCTGAGTGGTGAGTGTCTGAGTGTGAGTGGTGAGTGTCTGAGTGTGAGTGGTGAGTGTCTGAGTGTGAGTGGTGAGTGTCTGAGTGGTGAGTGTCTGAGTGTGAGTGGTGAGTGTCTGAGTGTGAGTGGTGAGTGTCTGAGTGGTGAGTGGTGAGTGTCTGAGTGGTGAGTGTGAGTGGTGAGTGGTGTGAGTGTGAGTGGTGAGTGTCTGAGTGGTGAGTGTCTGAGTGTGAGTGGTGAGTGTCTGAGTGTGAGTGGTGAGTGTCTGAGTGTGAGTGGTGAGTGTCTGAGTGGTGAGTGTCTGAGTGTGAGTGGTGAGTGTGTGAGTGTGAGTGGTGAGTGTGTGAGTGTGAGTGGTGAGTGTCTGAGTGTGAGTGTGAATGGTGAGTGTCTGAGTGTGAGTGTCTGAGTGTGAGTGGTGAGTGTCTGAGTGTGAGTGGTGAGTGTCTGAGTGGTGAGTGTCTGAGTGTGAGTGGTGAGTGTCTGAGTGTGAGTGGTGAGTGTGTGAGTGTGAGTGGTGAGTGTCTGAGTGTGAGTGGTGAGTGTCTGAGTGGTGAGTGGTGTGAGTGTGAGTGGTGAGTGTCTGAGTGTGAGTGGTGAGTGTCTGAGTGTGAGTGGTGAGTGTCTGAGTGGTGAGTGGTGAGTGTCTGAGTGTGAGTGGTGAGTGTGAGTGGTGAGTGGTGTGAGTGTGAGTGGTGAGTGTCTGAGTGGTGAGTGTCTGAGTGTGAGTGGTTAGTGTCTGAGTGTGAGTGGTGAGTGTCTGAGTGTGAGTGGTGAGTGTCTGAGTGGTGAGTGTCTGAGTGTGAGTGGTGAGTGTCTGAGTGGTGAGTGTGTGAGTGTGAGTGGTGAGTGTGTGAGTGTGAGTGGTGAATGTCTGAGTGTGAGTGTGAATGGTGAGTGTCTGAGTGTGAGTGTCTGAGTGTGAGTGGTGAGTGTCTGAGTGTGAGTGGTGAGTGTCTGAGTGGTGAGTGTCTGAGTGTGAGTGGTGAGTGTGTGAGTGTGAGTGGTGAGTGTGTGAGTGTGAGTGGTGAGTGTCTGAGTGTGTGTGTCTGAGTGTGAGTGGTGAGTGTGTGAGTGTGAGTGGTGAGTGTCTGAGTGTGAGTGTGAATGGTGAGTGTCTGAGTGTGAGTGGTGAGTGTCTGAGTGTGAGTGGTGAGTGTCTGAGTGGTGAGTGTGAGTGGTGAGTGTCTGAGTGTGAGTGGTGAGTGTCTGAGTGTGAGTGGTGAGTGTCTGAGTGTGAGTGGTGAGTGTCTGAGTGTGAGTGGTGAGTGTCTGAGTGGTGAGTGTCTGAGTGTGAGTGGTGAGTGGTGAGTGTCTGAGTGGTGAGTGTGTGTGGTGAGTGTCTGAGTGGTGAGTGTCTGAGTGTGAGTGGTGAGTGTGTGAGTGGTGAGTGTCTGAGTGTGAGTGGTGAGTGTCTGAGTGGTGAGTGTCTGAGTGTGAGTGGTGAGTGTGTGAGTGGTGAGTGTCTGAGTGTGAGTGGTGAGTGTCTGAGTGGTGAGTGTCTGAGTGTGTGAGTGGTGAGTGTCTGAGTGTGTGTGTCTGAGTGTGAGTGTGTGAGTGTGAGTGTGAATGGTGAGTGTCTGAGTGTGAGTGGTGAGTGTGAGTGGTGAGTGTCTGAGTGTGAGTGGTGAGTGTCTGTGTGTGAGTGGTGAGTGTCTGAGTGTGAGTGGTGAGTGTGAGTGGTGAGTGTCTGAGTGTGAGTGGTGAGTGTCTGAGTGTGAGTGTGAATGGTGAGTGTCTGAGTGTGAGTGGTGAGTGTGAGTGGTGAGTGTCTGAGTGTGAGTGGTGAGTGTCTGAGTGTGAGTGGTGAGTGTCTGAGTGTGAGTGGTGAGTGGTGAGTGTCTGAGTGTGAGTGGTGAGTGTCTGAGTGGTGAGTGTCTGAGTGTGAGTGGTGAGTGGTGAGTGTCTGAGTGGTGAGTGTCTGAGTGTGAGTGGTGAGTGGTGAGTGTCTGAGTGGTGAGTGTCTGAGTGTGAGTGGTGAGTGTGTGAGTGGTGAGTGTCTGAGTGTGAGTGGTGAGTGTCTGAGTGGTGAGTGTCTGAGTGTGTGAGTGGTGAGTGTCTGAGTGTGTGTGTCTGAGTGGTGAGTGTGTGAGTGTGAGTGGTGAGTGTCTGAGTGTGTGTGAATGTTGAGTGTCTGAGTGTGAGTGGTGAGTGTGAGTGGTGAGTGTCTGAGTGTGAGTGGTGAGTGTCTGAGTGTGAGTGGTGAGTGTCTGAGTGTGTGTGTCTGAGTGTGAGTGGTGAGTGTCTGAGTGTGAGTGGTGAGTGTCTGAATGTGAGTGGTGTAAGTGAGTGTGGTGAGTGTCTGAGTGTGAGTGGTGAGTGTCTGAGTGTGTCTGAGTGTGAGTGGTGAGTGTCTGAGTGTGAGTGGTGAGTGTCTGAGTGTGAGTGGTGAGTGTCTGAGTGTGTGTGTCTGAGTGTGAGTGGTGAGTGTCTGAGTGTGAGTGGTGAGTGTCTGAATGTGAGTGGTGTAAGTGAGTGTGGTGAGTGGTCCTGAGTGTGAGTGGTGAGTGTCTGAGTGTGTCTGAGTGTGAGTGGTGAGTGTCTGAGTGTGAGTGGTGAGTGTCTGAGTGTGAGTGGTGAGTGTCTGAGTGTGTGTGTCTGAGTGTGAGTGGTGAGTGTCTGAGTGTGAGTGGTGAGTGTCTGAGTGTGAGTGGTGAGTGTCTGAGTGTGTGTGTCTGAGTGTGAGTGGTGAGTGTCTGAGTGTGAGTGGTGAGTGTCTGAGTGTGAGTGGTGAGTGTCTGAGTGTGAGTGGTGAGTGTCTGAGTGTGTGTGTCTGAGTGTGAGTGGTGAGTGTCTGAGTGTGAGTGGTGAGTGTCTGAGTGTGTGTGTCTGAGTGGTGAGTGTGAGTGGTGAGTGTCTGAGTGTGAGTGGTGAGTGTTTGAGTGTGAGTGGTGAGTGGTGTGAGTGTAAGTGGTGAGTGTATGAGTGTGAGTGGTGAGTGAGTGTGAGTGGTGAGTGTCTGAGTGTGAGTGGTGTGAGTGAGTGTGGTGATGCTGTGTGTCTGAGTGGTGAGTGTCTGAGTGGTGAGTGCCTGAGTGTGAGTGGTGAGTGTCTGAGTGTGAGTGGTGAGTGTCTGAGTGGTGAGTGTCTGAGTGGTGAGTGTTGAGTGTGAGTGGTGAGTGAGTGTGAGTGGTCAGTGTCTGAGTGTGAGTGGTGTGAGTCAGTGTGGTGATGCTGTGCGCACCGTACCGCGGTAGTTGGAGTTCTTGATGAGATCCAGTTGGTGCTCCAGGCCGCCGGCGGTGCGGTTGAGGCGCCGCACGTCCCGCTCCAGCTCCGCGATCCGCCCCGTGGCGTTGGCGTTCCGGTCCTGGCTTTCCGTGAGGTCGATCTCCAGCGGCGTCAGCCGGTTCGTCAGCTCATCGATCATTTTCCTGCGCGCGGTGATTTTCATTTAATTATGACAAAAAAATGTACCGACAGTTTAATCGCAACCGCGTTGCCGCTTTCGCAGCACGTGATCCTTCGCGCCGGAGGACAGCCCGCGGGTGAGGATATCACAGAGCCACCACCGATGACCCCTTCAATTGACCCCTGTGCCACGCAGCCGGGGGCAGCAGTTGCCCACTCGCCCTGCCGCTGAGGAGAGCGTTCATCACAAGATGGTCAAACCCAACACGTCCGATTTCCAGAGCTGGAGTTGAGCCACGGTGGTGGGCACGCCACGCCGGTATGCGCGTGCCGCACGCGCGCGACTCAACACCCTGCACTCCCTTGCCAGTGAGACGTTCCTTCTCTAGGGATCGTCCGGCCGAAATCATCGTCGGCCATGATCAGTCCACTGCTGGACGAAGGCCTCCCGCCCAGGCCGATGCCACCTCTCACGGTCGATCCGCCCGGCGCCCGCACTCGAACCGCCGAGCTCATCGCTCCGTCCCCCTGACACTTTGTTGCCTTTATTTAAACCCGGGGGAAGACGCCTCAGGCCTCCTGCGCGAGTTCTCTCATCCACACGCTGACAATTCCGTCCGTCGTTGTAATTCCCAGTGTGTGCACCTCTCTCCATACTGCGAACGCGCGGAACGAGCGGGGGGGGGGGGGGGGGTGAAAGATGTGGTCGTAAATGCGGCCCCGCACCGGATGTCCTCCATGGAGCCGATGAGGGCGGTGACGGAGAGGGCCGTGGCGACGCGCCCATCCACGATCCTCCGCGCCTCCGCCAGCTTCTCCTCCAGGGCGCCAAACTGCTCCCCGAAGGCGCCGACAGCTCCCGACTCGGCGAGGCGAGCGGCGCGCTCCGCCAGGCCGCGCGACCGCTCCGCCAGCGACTGCGCACGACAGAGTCGACGTCATTATCGTCAGGGCTGACGCTATCCTTGTTCCGGTGTCCCTCCGCATCCTCCCGCGTCCCCCTCGTGTCCCCGTGTCCGCCCGCTTCTCCGCGTCTCCCCGTGTCCCCGTGTCCCCCCGCGTCTCCCCGTGTCCCCCCGCGTCTCCCCGTGTCCCCCCGCGTCCCCCCGCGTCCCACCTGCACGATGCGGTCCCAGTCCCCGAAGCACTGGTGGCAGGGCTCGCAGTGCGGGAAGCTCCCGGAGAAGCCGCGCGCGCACGCGTCGCAGCGCACCCCCGCCACGCCGGCGCGGCACACGCAGTGCCCCGTCGCCCGCTCGCACTGCGCCGTGGAGATCCCGCGCGCGTCGCACTGGCACGCTGACGCACGCGCACGGGCAGACGACACACGGAGCGGGGGCAGACGCACGCGTGGGTGAGCGGGAGGGGAGGCCGGAGGGTTGGACGGTGGGTGACAGGCCTGGCGGGTGCTTGGGTGGATGGGTGAGTGGTTGGGTGGGCGGATAGGCAGTTGTGCGGACGGGCGGTTCGGTAGGTGGAAGGCCAGATGCATGAGCGTTTGGGTGGTTCAGCGGGCGGCCGAGTGGATGGGCGGCTGGCTGAGCGGGTGCGCGGTGGGCGCGTAGTTACCGATGCACTCGACGCTGGGATTGCCCCAGAAGTTCTCCATGCATTCGGTGCAGGAGCGGCCCCCGAAGCCCGGCTGACACTCGCACTGCCCTGTGAACTACACGCACACAAAACAAAGATCCCCCCGGATAGCGTTGAAACGGACCGCCGGGGCAAGCGGTGACGTTGACTAAACCGCAGCAGGTACTCATTCAAGGCCGGGTCGACCTGGGCGTGGCCCAGGACCGGTTCAGATAATCGTCACTGGGTGTTGGTCGTGAGCGGGAATCGAACTCGGGTCGCCGGGTTTGTAGCGCAGCGCGCTAACCGCTACGCCACCGCTCCCCGGGGCAGACGCAGAGGCACCCTCCGAGAAGAGACCCCACGTGACCTGTTGGGTTTGTCCCCCACCCCCCAGGTAAGATGGCCGCTTCACGCGGCACGTACCTCGTTGCAGGCGTCGCCGAGCGCCTTGGTGCGGTCGCAGGCGCACGCACGGCACCCCTCGCCCTCGGCCAGGCCCCAGTGGCCGGGCGCGCAGTGCTCGCACGCGCGTCCCAGCGCGTGCTGCCGACACGGGCACTGCCCCGACGCCGCGTCGCACTCGCACACGGCGCCCGGCGGGCAGCGGCGCGGGTCCACGCCGTATGGGCTGCAGGCGCAGCCTGCACGCGCGCGCACAAACACAAGGATCCCCCTCGCAGCCTTTCACAAGCTGTTGGGGCAAGTGCCGTTAGCGAGCACCTGTAAAGGCCGGCACGGCACACGAAGGGGTGGCTTGTGCCAGCACCACGCCTGGCCGCCTTTGTCTCCCCCAGTGGCGATGTTTACACATCGCACCGGGTACTCATTTGAGGCTGAGTCGACCTAGGTGAGGCCCAGGACCGGTTTAAATATTCGTCAGTGGCGTTGGCCGTGATTGGGAATCGAACTCAGGTCACCGGGTTCCGAGCGCAGCCACACACGCACGGGTACGCACAGGGGTACATACACGGGTATGCAAGGTACACGCGTACACGAATACGCCCGGATACGTGCGTACCCACGTGGGTATGCACACACACGTGGGTACGTGCGCACACGCAAAGCGTTGTTGGACAGCGAGTGCAGAATCCGTGCACGGTTTTGTCGTCCGCGTCACGGCGCTCACGTTGGCAGCTCTGCTGCGTGGCGTTGCCGTAGAAACCGGGCAGGCAGGCGCCGCAGTCGGGCCCGTGCGAGTGGTGCAGGCAGCGGAGGCAGACGCCCGAGCGCCGGTCGCAAGACCCCGGGTCGGTCGGGTCGATGTTGCCGTGGCAGCGGCAGGGCCGGCACGAGCCGCCCGCCTCGTGCGGGTTGCCGTGGTGACCGGGGGCGCACTCCTCGCAGCTCGAGCCTGTCGTGGTAGTGTGGGGGGGGCGGGGCGGGCGCGTGGTGAGCGGTGGGGAAACCGAGAGCCGCGGCCGGCGCTCGCCATAACCACGGAGGGGTCTCTGCGGCTCTGAGCGCCGGATCCGTGGCGCGCGGAGCGCCGGCGACTCGAGAGAGGCGGTCGGGAGTCGTTGCCGCTGCTTCGTGTGTACCACCCTGATGGGGAGCCGCTGTGCGGTGGGGTGCGGCGCGACCCGGCGCGGTGCAGTGCTGTACCGGTGTATCCTGGACGGCAGCTGCAGACGACGCGCTGCGAGTGCGGGTCCTCGTGGCACGAGCTGGCGAAGTGACGCCCGGATCCGGGGCCGCCAGGACACGGGCAAGGCCGGCACTGCTCGCCCGAGCCCAGCACTGGGTTTCCATAGTAACCATCCGCACAGCTGTTGCCAGGGAAACAGGGAACACGGGCGCCACGGTTACGGAGAGGAGGGGTTCTGCACGGCGCCTCTAGTCACGCGGGGGCAATCTGTGGGGGTACGGAGACGCGGGGAGACTTGGGGAGATGTGGGGAGATACACGGTCCAGGAGACACGTGGGGAGACTCAGAAAGACGCGGGGAGATCCGGATGCACACAGGGACACGTAGGGACGCACAGGGGGACACAGGGAGACAACGGAAGATGTGGGGAGGTGAGAGAAGAGGACTCGTGGCAGGGCATACAAGGCAACACACACGGGGACACACAGAGACACGCGCACGCCCCACGTCATCCTCACCGCTCGCAGCTCTCCCCGGCGGTGTGCTCGCGGCACGTGTGGCACGTCCCGGTGACCGGGTGGCACTCCTCGGCGTGGCCGTTGCACCGGCACGGCCGGCACGCCGGGAAGCCCCAGTAGCCCGGCTGGCAGTGGTCGCAGCGCCGGCCGTACGCGCCGTGCCGGCAGCGGCACTGCCCGGTGCGCGCGTCGCAGAACGCGTGGTGGGAGCCCTCGTCGCTGCACTCGCACGCTGCGCGGGGGGCGAGGGAGAAGGGTTCAGGAGGGGGGCGACTCGCAGGGGACACAAGCAGGAGGCACGAGCCTCTTAATTATCTCCGCGTCGCTAGTCAGCTGACCCACGCGTCAATAGTCAGCTGACCCCATGTCGATAGTCAGCTGACCCCACGTCGCTAATAAGCTGACCCACGTGTCAATAGTCAGCTGACCCCATGTCGCTAGTCAGCTGACCCCACATCGCTAGTAAGCTGACCCACGCGTCAATAGTCAGCTGACCTCACATCGCTAGTCAGCTGACACCACATCGCTAGTAAGCTGACCCACGCGTCAATAGTCAGCTGATCTCATTTTGCTCGTCAGCTGATTCCATTTCGCTTGTCAGCTGACGCCACGTCGCTAGTCAGCTGACCCACGCGTCAATAGTCAGCTGACCCCATGTCGATAGTCAGCTGACCCCATGTCGATAGTCAGCTGACCCCACATCGCTAGTCAGCTGACCCCACATCGCTAGTAAGCTGACCCACGCGTCAATAGTCAGCTGACCCCATGTCGATAGTCAGCTGACCCCATGTCGATAGTCAGCTGACCCCACATCGCTAGTCAGCTGACCCCACATCGCTAGTAAGCTGACCCACGCGTCAATAGTCAGCTGACCCCACATCGCTAGTCAGCTGACCCCACATCGCTAGTCAGCTGACCCCACATCGCTAGTCAGCTGACCCCACATCGCTAGTCAGCTGACCCCACATCGCTTGGCAGCTGACCCCACATCACTAGTCAGCTGACCCCACATCGCTAGTAAGCTGACCCACGCGTCAATAGTCAGCTGACCCCACATCGCTAGTCAGCTGACCCCACATCGCTAGTCAGCTGACCCCACATCGCTAGTCAGCTGACCCCACATCGCTTGGCAGCTGACCCCACATCGCTAGTCAGCTGACCCCACATCGCTAATAAGCTGACCCACGCGTCAATAGTCAGCTGACCCCACATCGCTAGTCAGCTGACCCCACATCGCTAGTCAGCTGACCCCATGTCGATAGTCAGCTGACCCCACATCGCTAGTAAGCTGACCCCATGTCGCGAGTCAGCTGACCCCACATCGCTAGTAAGCTGACCCACGCGTCAATAGTCAGCTGATCCCATTTTGCTCGTCAGCTGATTCCATTTCGTTCGTCAGCTGATCCCATGTCGCTAGTCAGCTGACCCCATGTCGATAGTCAGCTGACCCCGCGTTGATAGTCAGCTGACCCTGTAGCTCGGGTCGGGCACTCACAGAGGCAGCCGCTGGGCCCGAAGCCGTAGGTCCCAGGCGCGCACGCGTCACAGCGCCGCCCCACCACGTTGGGGCGGCAATGACACTGACCCCCGTTAGGGTCGCACTCCGAGCTCAGCGAACCCTGCGGGTCGCACTGGCACGCTGTGGGGGGAGAGGGTGCAGAGGGGGGGGGGGTGCAAAAGGGGGGGGGGTGCAAAGGGGGTGAAGCAGAGGGTGATTGGAGTTTTATAAAGATGCTACTGCTGCTGCTGATGACGGCGGCGATGAAAACGGCGGCGGTGGAGGAGGAGGAGGAGGGTGCCGGGGTTCTCACGCAGGGCGCCGTCGTGCAGCAGCGCCGACAGGCTGCAGATGAGGCCGGCGCACACCTCCGTCACCGGCTGCTTCATCACGGCCTTGCCGCTCTCCTGGCAGAGGTAGCGATCAAAGTTCTCGCGCCGCCGAGTCGACTCGCGATCGTCCCCGGAGAACATCTCCAGCGACGTGTAGAGCGGCAGCAGCACCAGCTACGGTGGTGGGGGGGGGGCACAGAACGGAGGAAGTTGGCGGTGGAGAATGATGGAGATGGCAGTGGCGGTGTAGGTAGTGGTTGTGATCGTTTCGGTGGTGGTAGCGGTTATGGTGGTGGTGGTGATGGTAGCGATGTTGGCAGTGGTGGTGATTGCGGTAGTGGTGGTGATGGTAGTGGTGTTAGCAGTGGTGGTGATGGTAGTGGTGGTGATGGTAGCGATGTTGGCAGTGGTGGTGATTGTGGTAGTGGTGGTGATGGTAGTAGTGTTTAGCAGTGGTGGTGGTGATGGTAGTGGTGGTGATGGTAGTGGTGTTGGCAGTGGTGGTGATTGTGGTAGTAGTGGTGATGGTAGTGGTGTTGGCAGTGGGGGTGATGATGGTAGCGATGTTGGCAGTGGTGGTGATTGCGGTAGTGGTGGTGATGGTAGTGGTGTTGGCAGTGGTGGTGGTGGTGATGGTAGTGGTGGTGATGGTAGCGATGTTGGCAGTGGTGGTGATTGCGGTAGTGGTGGTGATGGTAGCGATGTTGGCAGTGGTGGTGATGGTAGTGGTGGTGATGGTAGTGGTGTTGGCAGTGGTGGTGGTGGTGATGGTAGTGGTGGTGATGGTAGCGATGTTGGCAGTGGTGGTGATTGCGGTAGTGGTGGTGATGGTAGCGATGTTGACGTGGTGGTGATTGCGGTAGTGGTGGTGATGGTAGTGGTGTTTGGCAGTGGTGGTGGTGATGGCAGTGGTCATGTTCTCGGTAGTGGTGGTGATGGTAGTGGTGTTTGGCAGTAGTGGTGGTGATGGTAGGTGGTGGTGTTGGCAGTGGTCATGTTCTCGGTAGTGGTGGTGATGGTAGTGGTGTTTGGCAGTGGTGGTGGTGATGGTAGTGGTGGTGATGGCAGTGGTCATGTTCTCGGTAGTGGTGGTGATGATAGTGGTGTTTGGCAGTGGTGGTGGTGATGGTAGTGGTGGTGTTGGCAGTGGTCATGTTCTCGGTAGTGGTGGTGATGGTAGTGATGTTTGGCAGTGGTGGTGGTGATGGTAGTGGTGGTGTTGGCAGTGGTCATGTTCTCGGTAGTGGTGGTGATGGTAGTGGTGTTTGGCAGTGGTGGTGGTGATGGTAGTGGTGGTGTTGGCAGTGGTCATGTTCTCGGTAGTGGTGGTGATGGTAGTGGTGTTTGGCAGTGGTGGTGGTGATGGTAGTGGTGGTGTTGGCAGTGGTCATGTTCTCGGTAGTGGTGGTGATGGTAGTGGTGTTTGGCAGTGGTGGTGGTGATGGTAGTGGTGGTGTTGGCAGTGGTCATGTTCTCGGTAGTGGTGGTGATGGTAGTGGTGTTTGGCAGTGGTGGTGGTGATGGTAGTGGTGGTGTTGGCAGTGGTCATGTTCTCGGTAGTGGTGGTGACGGTAGTGGTGTTTGGCAGTGGTGGTGGTGATGGTAGTGGTGGTGTTGGCAGTGGTCATGTTCTCGGTAGTGGTGGTGATGGTAGTGGTGTTTGGCAGTGGTGGTGGTGATGGTAGTGGTGGTGTTGGCAGTGGTCATGTTCTCGGTAGTGCTGGTGATGGTAGTGGTGTTTGGCAGTGGTGGTGGTGATGGTAGTGGTGGTGTTGGCAGTGGTCATGTTCTCGGTAGTGGTGGTGACGGTAGTGGTGTTTGGCAGTGGTGGTGGTGATGGTAGTGGTGGTGATGGTAGTGGTGTTTGGCAGTGGTGGTGGTGATGGTAGTGGTGGTGTTGGCAGTGGTCATGTTCTCGGTAGTGGTGGTGATGGTAGTGGTGTTTGGCAGTGGTGGTGGTGATGGTAGTGGTGGTGTTGGCAGTGGTCATGTTCTCGGTAGTGGTGGTGACGGTAGTGGTGTTTGGCAGTGGTGGTGGTGATGGTAGTGGTGGTGTTGGCAGTGGTCATGTTCTCGGTAGTGGTGGTGATGGTAGTGGTGTTTGGCAGTGGTGGTGGTGATGGTAGTGGTGGTGTTGGCAGTGGTCATGTTCTCGGTAGTGGTGGTGATGGTAGTGGTGTTTGGCAGTGGTGGTGGTGATGGTAGTGGTGGTGTTGGCAGTGGTCATGTTCTCGGTAGTGGTGGTGACGGCGCTCACCGAGTCGATGAGCACGTGGGCGCTCTCCGCGTGCTCGTGCGTCGTGTAGCGCGTGAAGTCCGCGCGGATCACGTAGCTCACTCCCTTCTCCAGGCACACGGCCTGGGGCAGCACCACGTAGCTGGGCGCACGGATCACGCACGCATACACACACACACACGCGTGTCACGCACACGTACACACACACACACGCGTGTCACGCACGCGTATACACACACACACGCGGGTCACGCACGCGTACACACACACACGCGTGTCACGCACGCGTACACACACACACACACGCGTGTCACGCACGCGTACACACACACACGCGTGTCACGCACGCGTCTCACCGTGACCCGGGCGGCAGCGACACGGCGAGGTGGTCGTCGGCCGGGATGGTGTTCCCGCACGGTGAGTGCGTGGGGATTTCGCTGGGGCGAAGCACCGTCACCAGCACCACCTCCCACTCCTCCGGCAGCTGAGAGCCGCACGCGCCGCGACGAGGGCCAGGCGGGACGGGAGGGGGCGACACGAAGCCACGCGGGAAATGGGAGCGTGCGACAGGGACGTGCGGTCAGGGGAGGCAAGGGAGGCAGAGCCTCACCTGTCATACTCCAATGAAAATAGCTGTTACGAAAAGTAACAAAAAAAGAAATAATAAAATAAATATTAAGATTTTCCCACTGATCTGTGTTATAAATGTCATTTCTGTACGATTCCAATCGTTTTTAGAGTCAAAATTGCCAAAATTTGCGCAGCTCCGCTGCAAATACAGGAAGAGACAGGAGGTGAGGCAGCGACGAGCTCAGCCTCCCCTCTGATTGCGCAACCCCTCAGTAACTGGATGGAGCGCGGGCAATAAGCGCGTGCCTGTTACTATCTCAGTATGTCACCAATGTAATCTTTGTAGACCCCTTCATTTCACGTCCTCGCCTTCCATACTCCAGGTAAGTTATTTCACGTACGTGTATAAATATATTTAGGCTCGCTGGTCTCGTCATGAAACTGCAATGAAAAAGCACCAGGGGAGGCAGCGATCACATCCGCCTCACTGAGTACACGCCCCCCTCAGTGAGGACACGCCCCCCTCCGTGAGGCCACGCCCCCCTCAGTGTGTAAATCTGGCTCTGACACTAACCAGTGACCTCACCGCACGTTACTGGCGTGCGAGTGCCATGCGTGGTGGCTGCACAAGCGTGCGTGTGCGTGCGTGCGCACGGTGGCGCGCGTGGGTGCCGCCCGCGTGCCCCGCCGACCTGCGGCTCGTAGCGGATGAGCAGCTCGTAGTCCATGGAGTGGGGCACGTCGGAGACGCGGAACTCGAGGCGGCCGCCCTCGGGCACCCGCACGAAGCCCGGCCCCGTCCACGTGGGCGCGCGCCCGGGCGTGGGGGCCCGCGGCACCAGCGCCAGTCCCTGCCGACAGACGCGGCACGGCGCGGCGTGACGACGCGGCACGGCGCTGCACGTCGTCGCGCCGCGGCAGCGCGACGACGCGTCGGGAGCCATGCCGCATCAGGCCGCGCGCTTGCAGCTGAGCGCACGGCGCCGCGTTAATGCGTTAATGAAGCGGACTCCGCGTGGCAAAGCCGGTGTGCGTCCTGCGGAAAGGAGGGGTCGGGGTGTAGGGCTCGCGGTTGGGGTCAGGGTAAGGTAAGGGTTGCGGTAGAGACCGTGGGGAGGGTCAAGGCATGGGTTCACGTTAGGGCACGCTAAGGGTCAAGGTCACTGCAGGGGTCACGCTAGGAGTAAAGGTAGGTGCTAGGTTAAGGATCAGAGGTCGCAGGAGGGTCACAGGCGAGGCTTTCTGCACTGGCAGCCACGACCCCAAAATCGGACAGCGTGACGCCGTGATTTACGGTGAGACACGTTGAGGCGTCGTGGAACACGGGCAGCTCAGGTCTGGTGGGACTTGCAGTGAGGGCAGCAGGAAGCCATGCACAAGCCAGCAACGGACGGGGGGGGGGGCAGCGGTTGGTGACGGGGGCAGCACGAGCGTCCAGGCCACCACCGCCGCTCTCGCGGAGCCGGTCGAAAAGTTTGAGCCCGGGTCCCGGTTCCACCCGAACCGGGCTCTCGGTGTCGCGGGACGCAGGGTCCGTCTAGAGATCGAGCGGCGAGCGGCCCAGAGGTCGCTTGAAGCGATCTCGGAAGCGCTTCTGCGATATCTGTGCACGCGAGGCTGTTCTCCGGCACGAAGCGCAGCCCTGCTCTACGAGATGCCGAACGGAGGCGTCGTCTCGCCGAGTTGCGCGACCGGCGCGTAACTCGGGGGGGGGGGGACACGAAGCGTTGTTGTTGTTGTTATTGTTGTTGCTGAAAGCCCGAGGTCAGAGGTGAGTAATCCGCGCAAACTGGACGAGGCCGCGGAGGTTTTACCCGGCCTGTCGGGAGGCCTTGCTTGACGCGCTCTCGCTCCTCACACAACGAGGGGGTCAGCAGGGACTCCGCCAGCCCCCCGGGGGTCTGGGGCCCAGCGCCGTCCGGTAACGGGGGGAGGGCACGCACGGAGGCACACGCGCACACAGAGACACACGCACGTGGATACACACAGAGACACATGGACATGGATACACACACACACACACAGAGACACACGCACGTGGATAGACATTCGCACAGAGACACGCATAGATGCACACGCACACAGAGACACACGCACGTGGATACACACACACACAGACACATGGACATGAATAAACATTCCCACAGAGACACGCATAAATGCACACGCACACAGAGACACACGCACGTGGATACACACACACAGAGACACACGCACGTGGATACACATGTACGTGGATCCAGACGAACACAGAGACGGGCGCTCACTCAACATCGCACTGACTCACACAAACACTCACTCACTCTGACCGGCTCACATTGTCACCGAGACACTCGTGCACAGAGTCACTCACAGCCTCGTTCGCTCACGATGGAGGCTGTGCGAACCAAACGTCGCCTGAGCTTGGAGGAGGCAAGGGCGGAGTTTGAGGTGCACGAGGAGGAGATGAACTTTCGGGTCAAGGGAACCAAAGGTTACTGCTGAGGGTGAGGGTAAGGTTAGGGTGAGGGGTAGAGGCAGGGCCAGGATCGTAACGGTCATGACCCAACCACAGCCACATCTGAGCGATCGATACGGAACAGGTGGCCTCTCCTCCGGCACCATCCCTGCAAATGAATCGGTACACTCACGGCCGCCGGCATCGGCCACGATCGATCCACTGCCGGATGAGGGCCCTCCCAAAGACCGAAACCCGACGAGCATCCAAGCCGATTTCGCGGCTCCGCCTCCGAGGGGGCCGTCCTCCTCTCGGGGCGCGCGCTCCCGGCCCCGGCCGCCGCTCCGTCATCGTCCCCCCCCCCCCCGTGCCCCCCACCTCGTGTCTCCCCGGGCGATGACGGCCGTGACAGCGCAGCCTCCAGTCGCGCGACTGTCCAATCAGACGGCGCCCACTCGTGGCCCCGGTCCAATCAGAAGCCCCCCCCAGGTGCCTCCAGTTCGATCGTCTCGCTTGCGCCCCCCCCCACCCTGCATTGCCCGAGTCCCCCCACTTCCTCCGGCCACTACCTCAGTCACCCACCATGACCCTCTCTCTCTCGTTCCTGTCCCTCTCGTTCCCCAGAGACCCACCTCCCAACCCCCGGTTCCCGTGATTCCCTGACCATCCCCCCGGGTCCACCCACGAACCCCCCAAACCCCTACCCCCCCCCGCCCGCCCCCGAGCGCGCCGCGGGAACTCACGCCGTTGGAGTCGACGGGCAGCGCGGTCTCGGCCTCGTGCGTGTAGTGGTCGAGCGCCATGCAGAAGAAGCCCGAGTCCGGCCGCGAGCACGGCCGCCCGCCCATGTGGCCGCGGCAGCGGCACTGCCCCGACTCCACGGAGCACCTGCGGGCACGCACGCCGACGGCACCGGTCAAACGGCGGCGCGACGCGGCCCGGACCGCGGGGAAGTCGCGCGGCGTCCGCGGCCTTTGCCGGGTGACGACCGGGGGAGGGGGGGCGCGGTGCGAGACCCGTACCGGTTGTCGACGGCGCCTCCCACGTCGCACTCGCACGGGCGGCACCCGCTCCCGTCGTGGCTCAGTCCCCAGTGCTCCGCCTGCGGAGAGAACGCGACACCGCGGGTCACCCTCGCGGCACCGCCGGGCGGTCGGCAAAACCCAAAAAACGGAAAAAGCCGCCGTCGGATCGGCGCTCGTCATCGGCGATCTCCGATCCCGCGGCGCCCTGCGACCCCTGACCCCCGCCCCCCACACCGCGACCCTCACCAGGCACTGGTCGCAGCTGCGCCCCGTGACGAGACGCTTGCAGTAGCAGTCGCCCGTGATGGCGTCGCATGCCGCGGCGCCACCCACCGTGCCCAGCGGGTTACAGTGGCAGGCTGAGAGCACACGGCACGCGCACGCGGTCAATGCACACGCACGGCGCACACGCACGACGTACACACGGTGTTCACACACGCATGATGTGAACACACACGCTGAACAAACGTGACCCGAAAATGAGATCCGCAGGCGTGGTGAGAAAGCGCAGGAGCACGAGCCACGTGCGCGGTGCGACGCGAGACGCACGTAGCACCACACGGGACACGAGAGGCATGCAGCACCACACGGGACACGAGACGCACGCGGCACCACACGGGACACGAGACGCACGCGGCACCACACGGGACACGAGACGCACGCGGCACCACACGGGACACGAGATGCACGCGGCACCACACGGGACACGAGACGCATGCAGCACCACACGGGACACGAGACGCACGCGGCACCACACGGGACACGAGATGCACGCGGCACCACACGGGACACGAGACGCACGCGGCACCACACGGGACACGAGACGCACGCGGCACCACACGGGACACGAGACGCACGCGGCACCACACGGGACACGAGATGCACGCGGCACCACACGGGACACGAGACGCACGCGGCACCACACGGGACGCGAGACGCACGCGGCACCACACGGGACACGAGATGCACGCGGCACCACACGGGACACGAGACGCACGCGGCACCACACGGGACACGAGACGCACGCGGCACCACACGGGACACGAGAGGCACGCGGCACCACACGGGACGCGAGACGCACGCGGCACCACACGGGACACGAGACGCACGCAGCACCACACGGGACACGAGACGCAGCGGCGATGAGATCGGCTCGCCGTGCACGGCAGCCGGACGGAGCGTGGTGGCATCGCAAGAACGTGAGAGATGGCAACGGCTTGTGGAGGCCTTCGTCCAACAGCGGATAGATCACCACTGATGATGATAGATCACCACGGATGATGATGATGATGATAGATCACCACTGATGATGATGATAGATCACCACTGATGATGATGATAGATCACCACTGATGATGATGATAGATCACCACTGATGATGATGATGATGATAGATCACCACTGATGATGATGATTGATTCTTGGTAATAATCGGGCGGCAACGTGTGCTGCTGCTGCTGGGATTAACGTTGGGTGTGGTTATTGGTGTTAACGTGTGCAATGAATTCGCGGTGATGCCCATGGTGATTGTCAGTAACAGTTAACGGTGATTGGCGGTCATGCATTCGGTGCTGTCGGTGGTGGCAGTGGTCACAGCGGTGGCAGTGGTGGTGGCCATTGCGGTGGTGGAGGCAGTGGTGGTAACGGTGGTGGTGGTAGAGGCAGTGGTGGTGGTGGTAACGGCGGTGGTGGTGATGGCGGCGGCAGTGGTGGAGGCGGTGATGGCCGTGGTGGCGGCGGAGGTGGCGGTTACTCACGCTGGCATCCGTCGGGCTGCTCGGCGTCGAGTCCATAGAATCCCGCCCGGCACTGGTCGCACCGGGGTCCCTCCACGTGCGCCTTGCAGCGGCACTGCCCGGACTCGAGCCCCGCCGACGGGTCGGTGTGTCCGTCACACATCCCCCCGTTCAGCGAGCCGTCGGGGTCGCAGTCGCACGCTGCCCGCCCGACGCACGTGCACGCACACACACGCACGCACGCACGCACACGCACGCACACACACGCACGCGCACAGACACACGCACGCACACACACACACACACGCACGCACACACACACACACACACGCACGCACACACACGCACGCGCACGCACACGCACGCGCACAGACAACGTGAGCGCGAGCGCGCGGGCAACGAAAACGATGACACGGCCGAGTGCGGTACCGCGCGGTGGCACGGCGCGAGAGCGGCGTGGGGCGTGTTGGCGACGTACGAACGCAGACAGCGGCGTCGCGGATGTCGCGCAGCGGGTCCTGGTAGAAGAAGGGTTTGCAGAGCTCGCAGCTGCGCCCGGCCGTGTTGTGCTGGCAGTCCTCGCACACGCCGCCGCTGGCGTTCCCCGTCGCGGCAAACACCGCGCCATCAAAGTGGCACCGCACCGCGTGGTTGTTGCAGTTGCAGCCTGCGCGAAGGGGTGGTGGGCGGGGTGGCGGGCGCGGGGCGAGACACACACATGCGTGTACACACGCACACGCGTGCGCACGCAAAACACAAAGATAAAGATCCCCCCGTATAGCCTGAAAGTGCTGTTCGCGAGCAACTATGAAGGCCGGAACACTACACGAGTGGGTGGGTGGCCAGCCACCTTTGTCTCCCCAGTGGCGATGTTTACACACCGGTCCAGGTACTCATTTGAGGCTGAGTCGACGGAGGGAAAGCCCCAAGACCGATTCAGATAATCGTCACCGGTGTTGGCCGTGAGCGGGAATCGAACTCAGGTGGCCGGGTTCATAGAGCGGCGCGCTAACGGCCACACCACCGCTCGCCAAAGACAAAGGTCCCCCGTATAGCCTTAACAGACTGTTTGGGCAAGTGCTGTTAGCGAGCACCTTCCCACGCGCACGCACGTATACACACGCACGCATGCACGCTCGCACACACACGCACGCATGCTCGCACGTACACACACGCGCCCGCACCCTCGCACGTACACACACGCATGCACGCTCACACGTACACACACACACGCACGCTCGCACGTACACACACACACACACACGCACGCTCGCACGTACACACACACACGCACGCTCGCACGTACACACACACACGCACGCTCGCACGTACACACACACACGCACGCTCGCACGTACACACACACACGCACGCTCGCACGTACACACACACACGCACGCTCGCGCGTACACACACACGCACGCTCGCACGTACACACACACACACGCTCGCACGTACACACACACACGCACGCATGCACGCTCGCACGTACACACACACACACACGCGCGTGCGCGCGAAATGGACCGTGCACGCACGCTTGCAGGCGTTGGTGTTGCGCCCCTCGGCCGGGCGCCACGGCATGTCGTTGTAGAAATCCTCGCAGCGCTCGCAGTTGAGCCCCTCGGTGTTGTGCTTGCACACGCAGCGCCCGTGCACCTGCAGCAGAGAGTGACAGACCGCCGCGTCGTGCCGTTCTTTCGTCAAGCCGGGCGCCGCGTTTGCTTCGTTCGTTACGGCAGACGGACGGGCGGGCGGGCGGGCGGGCGGGGAGACGGCTGCGAGAGGGGGGCGCGAACCGACCGGGGGAACTCTGCGGCGTTCGCGGACTCAGGGCGGCGACGGAGGCGGTCGGGGGGGGGGGGTCAGAGCGATGGAAGATGGAACGGCAGGGCGGGCGAGGGCGAGAGGGAGCGGCGATTTGGGGTCACGGCGAGCGGCGCCAAATACGCGCCGACACTTGGGAAATGGGTGGGCAGGGAAGCGTTCCGAAGGTGCACGCGTGGAACCCGCGGATCAAGGGGGCTGCTGCCTCCCCAGCGCCGCTGTTCACGCACTGCACCAGGTGTTAAGGCCGAGTTGACCTAGGGGAGGCCCCAGCGCCTGTCAAATATTCACCATCCGACGTTGTCCATTGCGCCACCGCTCCCCACAGAACACAAAACAAAGACAAAGATCCCCCGTATAGCCTTAACAGACTGTTGGGGCAAGTTCTGTTAGCGAGCACCTATGAAGGCCAGAAAGGCACACGAAGGGGTGGGTGGCCAGTACCACGTCCAGCCGCCTTTGTCTCCCCAGTGGCGATGTTCAGATAATCGTCACCGGGTATTGGCCGTGAGCGGCAATCGAACCCGGGTCGCTGGGTTCATAGCGCAGCATAGCGCTGACCGCTACACCACCGCTCCCCACACACACACACACACCTACACACGGACACACACACACACTACACACGGGGACACACACACACCTACACACACACACTACACACGGACACACACACACTACACACGTACACACACACACACTACACACGGACACACACACACTACACACGGACACACACACACTACACACGGACACACACTACACACGGACACACACACACACTACACACGGACACACACACACTACACACGGACACACACACTACACACGGACACACACACACTACACACGGACACACACACACTACACACGGACACACACACACTACACACGCCGTGATGCGCTGTTCGCTCGTGCCGCTGCTCCCTTGGCACTCATCATAGCGCTCTCCCGTCCATCTCTCTCCCGTCCACCCCTCTCCCGTCCACCCCTCTCCCGTCAACCCCTCTCCCGTCAACCCCGTTATCCCAGCGTTGTGATTCCGTGCCTGCGTCCTTCCCACACGCACGGCCTCTGCCCACTCAATAAACTTGTTGCGTGTGACCTTTGCTTCGCTCGCACCTCAAATCTCTCTCCGGCTCTGCGCGCGCGATCGGCGCGTCTTTGTGCCGCCGCTAACCCATCGGCGCGTCTTTGTGCCGCCGCCGCCGCCGCCGCTATCGCTAACCCATCGGCCGCTCGCTCGGATTTTTCCTTGAAAGCCCGAGAACAAAACAAGGCAAACAATGCTGCCGCAGCTGCCAAGATTACAGACGCCGGCACGCTCCGCAGGTGCGCCTGGCGCAGGTACGCCTGGCTGCTCCGCCGGAATGTGAGGGCTTCTGGGAATTTCCACCACCGGACCTCTCACGGGACGAACCGAGAGGCCCCAGCAGAGGAGATGTCGCTGCCGTTTGACGCCGAGCGGCGATGAAGTGCCGCGGGAAGTGGCACGGGCGTCACGGTGTGCGTGTGTCATAGGTGCTCGCTAACAGCACTTGCCCCTACAGTCTGTTACAGGCTATACGGGGGATCTTTGTTTGGTGAGGAGCGGTGGGGCACCGCAAGCTGAGTCGGCGGTGAATATTTGACTGGGGGCACCACGGTGGCTAGGAGATGTTAACTACCTCGCCTGCTATACAGGAGGTTGTGGGTTTGATCCCGACCCTGACGTTTGCTGTATATTTGGAGTTTGCGTGTCTCTCTCCCCGTGGTCACGTGGATTTTCTCCGGGTCCTCCGGTTTTTCCCTTCGCATTTAGAATCAACATCACGCGTTCAGAGTATTCGGCTGCTGCTATAGATTTTCACACTTCGTTCAGCTATCATCTGTAGCCAAATCGCTTGTGCAAAAGGTCCACATAGCTCAGTGGGCATAACCTGCTGAAAAAAAATATTAAGTTTTAGACTGGCGCTGGGCCTCCACTAGGTCAACTCGGCCTCAAATGAATTCCCAGTGCTGTGTGTGAACAGCAGCGCTGCAGAGACAAGAGCGGGCCTGGCGTGGCCACACCGCCCCCCTGGACGCGTGTGTGCGTGCGTGCGTGCGTGTGTCCGTCCGTGCACGCGTGATGCGCGTGCACCCACCATGCCGTCGACGTCCCCACGCACGCCGTCGATGGGCGCGCACTCGCTCGCGTGGCCGTAGCAGAAGCAGTTGCCGCGCACGACGAGCTCGTACAGCGCGTAGTAGTACTTCTCCTTGATCTCGACGCGCGAGTCCAGCAGGTTGTCCCCCAGCGTGTGCAGCCGCGTGAAGTTGATGCGCAGGTTCGTGATCTTCAGCAGGCCTGGGCCGCGGCGACGTGCGGAGCGGAGGGGGTTGGGGGGCCGTGGGACACGAGCGGTCGAGTTAGTCCAAACGAGTGGGAAGGGGTGGGGGGGGGAGAGGTGGCGGAAGCCACGGTGGGCAGGAGGTTCGCAACGAATCGCCACAACGGTCGAGAGTTGAGAGTCGAGCGAGCGGGCGGGCGGGACGGCGCCGGCCGCTCGGGAGGGACGAGGGCCGGCGGTCGAGACGAACGACGGAGCGGCAGCCAGAGGCGGCGGGCGTTACCGAGAGCGCGTCCACCACGGAGATGGGAGCGGTAGAATCAGCTGACGCGCAGGAGATAGACGGACTGTCGCATCGCAAGGTTCCGAGGGATGGCGATGGCTTCGAGAGGGCCCTGATCGAGCGGTGGGGAGATCACGGCCGATCGTGTCGCAATGTTGGCGCTAAATGAACATCGCTGAACGGACGAGACGGCCACGTTACAAATCGCCTGGTCTGGACAGGCCACGCTGGCATTCCTGGAGTTGCCTATCGCGAAACGTCGCGAATCGAACCGCTGCTAGACGTGGTCTCTAAACTCACCAGGTGAGACCGGCTCTCCCTCCCCCGATAATATGCAGGAAGTCGTGGGTTCGATCCCCGACCCTGACGCCCGCAGCTGTATATTTGGAGTTTGCGCGTCTATCTCCCCCCGTGGTCGCGTGCGTTTTTTTTCCTCCGGGTCCTCCAGTTTTTTTCCTCTGCATTTTGCGTTGAGATTAATCAAATTACTTGGCTGCGATAAATTTCCACGCGATAAGCCGCTTCGTTGGGCTATCGTTTGTGGCCAGGTCACATTTGAACAAAAAAAAAAGCTAAGAGTTCAGTGGGCTTCGCCTAGTAAAATAAAAAAATACTTTATTTAAAAACATTTCTTATTTGCCTACCGTTACCTATTCTTCACACTCCTGTTGCGTTTGTTGTGACGTTTCTTGCCGTAACTCGCTGACCCGCCCCCACTGGACATTTGTGAAAAGCGCTTCGCAGCTCATCGGGTTCCTCCTGCAGTCTTAAACAAAGATTCTGAGCCCGATGAGGGCGGTGTTCAGGAGCGAGCGAGCCACCGCTCTCTCTCTCTCTCGCGTGTCGGTGGCCCAAGAATTCGAGAACGAAGCGAGGAGCCGCGGAGACCTTCGCCAACCCACGGTCCAACGTCTCCCCCCCCCTCGTTAGTCGGAGGCCACGGCTACTCGGCGAGGCCACGGCTACTCGGCGAGGCCACGGCGTCGCTTGCCCCAGGCCCCACGGAGCCCCTCGCCCCCCCCCCCCCAAACGCCGCCCGCCCCTGGGCTCGAGTCAGGGTCGTGCCGCGGCCCCTGCCGTTATCCGTCCGACTCCAGGAATAGAACGGAAGGGCGGCGGCGTTTGTGGCGCTGGGGGACGTGGACATCCGCAGGGACCCGCGCTTGCGATGACGGTCCGGGCACGTCGCCCGTACACCTGCGGTCACGAACCCGTCGACCCGAGTTCGATTCCCGCTCACGGCCGCCAACACCCGGCGACGATTATCTGAACCGGTCCTGGGCCTCCCCTTAGGTCGACTCGGCCTCAAACGAGTACCTGGTGCGGTGTGTGTGTGTACGCATCACCACTCGGGAGACAAAGGCGGCCGGGCGTGGTGCTGGCCACCCATCCCCCTCGTGTGCCGTGCCGGCCTTCATAGGGTGCTGCTCGCTAACAGCGCTTGCCCCAACAAGTCTGTGAAGGCTACGCGGGGTGGATGGTAATCTTTGTCTTAATGGGGAGTGCCACCTTCGAGGTAAGAACAAAGCGGAACTTGAAAAGCGAAGAGGAAACATCGAGCACATGCACCATGGGGAGCGGTGGCGGAGCGGTGAGAGCTGAGCCGCGCTACGAACCCGGCGACACGAGTCCGATTTCCTCTCACGGTCACAAACGTCGGTGACGATTACCCGAGCCGGTGCTGAGCTTCCCCTAGGTCGACTCAGGCTTAAATGAGGACCCGGTGCGGTGTGTAAAACATCAGCACTGGCGAGACGGAGGCGGCCGGCCGGGCGTGGTGCTGGCCACCCACCCCCTCGTGTGCCGTGCCGGCCTTCATAGGTGCCGCTCGCCAACAGCACTTGCCCCAAAAGCCTGTTTAGGCTACACAGGGGGTCTTTGTCTTTGTAGACGTGCGTGTGTGCTTGGGGGGGGGGTGTAAGTGCGGTGTAAACAGGTTCCATTTCCAAACAAGGTTCCTTTCAAGGCTGGGCTTTTAGAGACTGTGGGTTGGTGGTGGGGTTGGGGAGGGGAGAGGGGGAGAGGATGTTTGGATTAGGAGGCTGTGTGGGGGTGGTGGTGGTGGAGTGGGGGTGGTGGAGTGGAGGTGGTGGAGTGGAGGTGATGGTGGTGGGGGTGGTGGAGTGGAGGTGATGGTGGTTGGGGTGGTGGAGTGGAGGTGATGGTGGTGGGGGTGGTAGTGCAGTGGGGGTGGGGGTGGTGGAGGTGATAGTGGTGGGGGAGCGGTGATGTAGTGGTTAGCGCGCTGCCCTATACGAACCCAGCGTTGCCGAGTTCGATTCCCGCTCACGACCAACACCGGTCACGATTATTATCTGAGACCGTCTCGGGCCTCCCCTAGGTCGACTCAGCCTCAAATGAGTACCCGGTGCAATGTGTAAAACATCAGCACTGGGGAGACAAAGGCGGCCGGGCGTGGCCACCCACCCTCCTCGTGTGCCATGCCGGCCTTCATAGACACTACCCGCCAACAGCGCTTGCCCCAACTATTTTCAAGCTATTCGGGGGATCTTTGTCTTTGTGGTCTTGGTGGTGGTGGTGCCGGATTATCCCAGTAGCACAAGTAGCTACACGTGTGTAGCTGCTACACACGTGTAGCAGCTACACACGTGTGTTGCACCTGTGTAGCAGCTACACGTGTGTAGCACGTGTGTAGCTGCTACACGTGTAGCAGCTATGGACCCCGCACTTTCAAGGGCCCCGCGCTAAATGCTTTCAAGCTATCAATTCCGGTTCAGTGATTCTGCACTTGCTCTATTAGTATAGAACTATACCGCCTTCAACTTTTATGAACGACTGGGTGTCAAAGGTTAGCGATTTGTCGTATTATCCGGTTGTATAGCAAATGAAAAAAATACAATTTCTTCACTGCGCAAGTAAAACATTTGTGTGTTTTCATATGTATGTGTTTTTATTTCTTTAGGGGCTCTTTATAACATAATCCGGCACTGCGTGGTGGTGGTTGGTGGTGGTAGGTGGTGGTAGAGTGGGGGAGGAGGGGTAGTGGGATGGGGGGGGGTCGCAGTTGGGTGTGGAAAAGCAGAAAGCAGTGTTTGTTTTTGTGTGTGTGTGTCAAAGGCCCCCCCTCCTACCCTACCGCCACCCCCGTATCCACTTCAAACAGCGAGGAGAGAGCGAGTGGCGTGGGTGATTGTGTGAGCCGTCCCTTGCGCGTGTGCGGCGTGGCTGCGTGAGTGCGTGTGGGAGGCTGGAGAGGAAGGGAGTGCATTCTTGTGGACAGTGCAGTGGCGTGAAACGTCAGCACGGGGGGAGACAAAGGGGGCCGAGTTGCAGGTCACCGCGCCCGCCCGCCCGCTCGCGCGTCGTGCCCGCCGCCTTCACGAGCGCCGCTCGCTAACGGCGCTTGACCCCCCCTCCCGACAGCGCGAACAAGGCTCCGTGTAGCGTGGCTCCATGTAGCGTGGCTCTATGGAACAAGGCTCCGTGTAGCGTGGCTCTATGGAACAAGGCTCCGTGTAGCGTGGCTCTATGTAGCGTGGCTCCATGTAGCGTGGCTCTATGTAGCGTGGCTCTATGGAACAAGGCTCCGTGTAGCGTGGCTCTATGGAACAAGGCTCCATGTAGCGTGGCTCCATGTAGCGTGGCTCTATGTAGCGTGGCTCTATGGAACAAGGCTCCGTGTAGCGTGGCTCTATGGAACAAGGCTCCATGTAGCGTGGCTCCATGTAGCGTGGCTCTATGTAGCGTGGCTCTATGGAACAAGGCTCCGTGTAGCGTGGCTCTATGTAGCGTGGCTCTATGTAGCGTGGCTCTATGGAACAAGGCTCCATGTAGCGTGGCTCCATGTAGCGTGGCTCTATGGAACAAGGCTCCGTGTAGCGTGGCTCTATGTAGCGTGGCTCTATGTAGCGTGGCTCTATGGAACAAGGCTCCATGTAGCGTGGCTCTATGTAGCGTGGCTCTATGTAGCGTGGCTCCATGTAGCGTGGCTCCATGTAGCGTGGCTCCATGTAGCGTGGCTCCATGTAGCGTGGCTCTATGTAGCGTGGCTCTATGGAACAAGGCTCCGTGTAGCGTGGCTCTATGGAACAAGGCTCCGTGTAGCGTGGCTCTATGTAGCGTGGCTCTATGTAGCGTGGCTCTATGGAACAAGGCTCCATGTAGCGTGGCTCTATGTAGCGTGGCTCCATGTAGCGTGGCTCCATGTAGCGTGGCTCCATGTAGCGTGGCTCTATGTAGCGTGGCTCTATGGAACAAGGCTCCGTGTAGCGTGGCTCTATGGAACAAGGCTCCGTGTAGCGTGGCTCTATGGAACAAGGCTCCGTGTAGCGTGGCTCCATGTAGCGTGGCTCCATGTAGCGTGGCTCCATGTAGCGTGGCTCCATGTAGCGTGGCTCTATGTAGCGTGGCTCTATGGAACAAGGCTCCGTGTAGCGTGGCTCTATGGAACAAGGCTCCGTGTAGCGTGGCTCTATGTAGCGTGGCTCTATGTAGCGTGGCTCTATGGAACAAGGCTCCATGTAGCGTGGCTCTATGTAGCGTGGCTCTATGGAACAAGGCTCCATGTAGCGTGGCTCTATGTAGCGTGGCTCCGTGTAACAAGGCTCCGTGTAGCGTGGCTCTATGGAACAAGGCTCCGTGTAACAAGGCTCCGTGTAGCGTGTGGCGATGTCTGTCTTTGCTTCTCCGAGTGCGCCGACGCGCGCCGCGGCGACCCCAGCCATCGCCCCCCTCCTCCCCTCCCCCCGCCGCTACGGCAACTCTCGCATCTCAACCTAAAAGAAGTCCCAGCGATGCGATGGTGGCGACCCCAAACCCCCCCCCCCCCCCCGACATAGGCGGAGTTCGACTTCTATATTTGGGGGGTGCAGTGGGTTCGCTTTGTCCCTCGAATTAGGAATCGCGTGTCGAGACAATCATTTTTTTGTTATATCTTAATTGTAAACTACCGAAAATAAGTTAATAAAGTTTACCAGTTTTTTTGGAGGGGGGGTGCATTACCCCCCCCCCCCCTCTACAAACTCTGCCCATGACTGCCAGCATACGGGGTGGGGGGCGGGTGCCGAGCGAGATCCACAACCGCCGTGTTTCCACCCCACAGGCAGTGTCACAAAATATCCACTCGAGCGCACGGCCATATGTGGGCACGAACAGTGGCATCCTTGTGAGTTCTTCTCTGCGGTGAAGCACAGAGGCGCCGTTCTCTTCCCATCGCCGCACTCGCAACGCAGCCCCCTCTCTCACCCCCCCCACCCACCTACCCCCAACTCTGTTCGCCCGCAAGGCACCATGGGGATATCTTCCCATGGTGCCGTGCGGCCCGCGGCGGTGAGAAAGCAGAGTCCAGACCTGGAACCTTCCCTCCCACGAGTCGGCTGGACCCGGAATTGTTCAGCTTTTTTGGTTCGAATCGAGACTCACGTTCACACACAAACACACACACACAAACACACACACAAACACACACACAAACACACACACACAAACACGCACACACAAACACACACACAAACACACACACAAACACACACACAAACACACAAAACACACACAAACACACACACAAACACACACACACAAACACACACACACAAACACACACAAACACACACACACAAACACACACACAAACACACACAAACACACACACACAAACACACACACAAACACACACACACAAACACACACAAACACACACACAACACACACAAACACACGCACAAACACACACACACAAACACACACAAACACACACACACAAACACACACACAAACACACACACACACAAACACACACACACAAACACACACACACACAAACACACACAAAAAAACAAAAACACACACACACACACAAACACAAACACAAACACACACTCACACACACACACACACACACACTGACACACACACAGACACACACACACACAGTGACACACAAACACACACACACACAAACACACACACACAAACACACACACAAACACACGCACACACAAACACACACACAAACACACACAAACACACACACAAACACACAAACACACACACAAACACACACACAAACACACACACACAAACACACACACAAACACACACACAAACACACACAAACACACACAAACACACACAAACACACACACACAAACACACACACAAACACACACACAAACACACACAAACACACACACACACACAAACACACACACACAAACACACACACAAACACACAAACACAAACACACACACAAACACACACACAAACACACACACACAAACACACAGAGACAAAGATCCCCCTCCCCGTGGAGTGTCTACAGGGGGTCGGGGCAAGTGCTGACGACGAGCACATACGAAGGCCCGGCCGCATTTGTCTCCCCAGTGGCGATGTCTTACACGACGAAGCGCAGCGACTCGTTCATCGTCAGCGGTGGCCGCGAGCGGCAGCGTCAGCGCTAACCGCTGATGCTGCCGCTCCCGCTCCCCAAGCGGTGACGCTCGCTCGCACGCACATGAAGCCAACGCTCCCCGATGGCCTCGCGGACACGAGGCACAATATTCAAAAAAAGAGTCTGACAGATTTGCCAGAACACCCTCCCATAAAACTCTCTGCACTCCTCCACGCGACGTCTGGCATCAAGAAACCACACGAAAGCCGTTCCCACGAGGGAGGAACCCAGCGCTAGCCCAGATACTCCAACCCCCACCCCACTCCATCTCTGGCCCACGCCCCACCGGGGACAAATGCCACACTTGGAGCCACTCTTCCCACGTTCTCAAACCTCTGGAATGTCTGCAAGTAATTAAGAATGAGCAGCCGGACGGAAAAAAAACGAATACACAACTCGGACCCAGCTGGGCCCGGCCGCTGTGGTGAATGCTGACCTCTTGTACCAACAACAACGTAGGCGGCGAGCGGGCTTGGTGGCTACAGCTGTTGGGACCGGTGGCGCCTCGCAGCAAGAGGGCCCTAGGTTCGATTCCTGACTCGGGTGCCGCTTTCTGCGCGGGGTCCGTACGTTCTCCCCCCCTTGTCCTGCACGGGGTTTTCCCTCCGGTTGCCACCACCTCTCATAGCTAAACCCACACACACACAGTGGGAACCGCTATCGGCCAAAGGTCCCAAAGCCGAACAAATCGATCTCCACCATCGCTCAAATTTGGGATCGCACCAAACGAAACCGCCCCCCCCCCCTCGTCTGCTGCGAAAACATGGGAGCCTGTGAGGCCCTCCTGGGTAAACGCGCACAATAGCAACGACGTGGCTTCCTCGCCCCGCCACGATCGATCCGCTGCTGGATGAAGGCCGCGCCCCCAAGCCTTTTGCCAACCTCTCCCCGCACAAGAGACCCGTCGTTCTGTCGCTCCATCTCCTTTGGCGGCCGGGCCGCTGGACGCTCGTGCAGCGCTGTCCGCCCAGCAGCGTGGACGCGGCGTGGACCGCGCGGCGGTGCGTTACAACGCGGAGGAGGAGGCCAGGCACCCTCTAGGAAGGAGGGGGTGGGGCTCTAAAAGCTTCCTCCAGTGGAGGCTCCTTCGGCCAGCAGTGGCACGAGCCAGCCGTTGCAGGGCTGCGCCTCTGCCTATTGTGAACTACCTCGCCTGGTGTGCAGGAGGTGGTGGTGCGATCCCGACCCTGACGCCTGCTGCTGAATAATTGGAGTCTGCGTGTCTCTCTTTCATCATTATCATCACGGTGGCTAGGAGATGTTAACTATCTCGCCTGGTATACAGGATTTCGTGGATTCGATCCCGACCCTGACGCCTGCTGCTGTATATTTGGAGTTTGTGGCGTCTCGTGGTCGCGTGGATTTCACTCCGGGTCCTCCGGTTTTTCCCTCCACATCTAAAATTTGACTGCAATACATTTCCACACGATAATCCCACTTCGTTCAGCTATCATTTGTGGCCAGGTCGCTTCTGAAAAAAAAGGCCAATAGCTCGGTCGGGGCATTACCTGGTAAAATAAAAAAAAATGCGTCTATAGTTTTAGAACGCGCCGCCATTCTCTCGGACGTGCCGCGTGCTCTGGGTTATTTCGGTTGTTCCCACTGGGCACTGAGAGGGGGGCTGTGCGACCGGAGGCCAGGCGAAGGCCGAGCATCCTTGAATCAGCCACGGCGGCGGGGGTGCACACGTGTAAGGGGGGGAGGGGGCCGGTGGTGGGGGCTGTGGGAAGGGGTTAAATGAGACCCTGGGGGGGCGGGGGGGGGGGGAAGGAGGTGGGGAGGGAGTAGCGGTCGAACGCACAACCACATCCCAAACCCCCCGCTCTCTCGCAGCTGCGCACACAACACTATGCTGCGGCAAGCCCAGCGCAGGGCTGTTAGCGAGCGTCTATTGAGGTCGGCACGGTGCTCCGCGGGGCGATGTGGCCAGCACCGCGCCTGGCCGCTTTGGTCTCCCCGGCGCCAATGAGTACACGCCACACCAGATACTCGCTTAAGCCCGAGTCGGCCTAGGGGTCCGGTGCGGATATTTGTCGTCGGTGTTGCCCCGTGAGCGGGAGTCAAATGGGAATCAAAGTCAGGTCGCCAGGTCCGTAGCGCAGCGCGCTGAACGGTGCACCAGCGCAGAATCGCACACACAGGTCGGAGGTCACTCACTCTGGATGGCCGGGCTGTAGGGGTCGGTGATCTTGATGGCCGGGTCCAGCACTCGGAAGATGACCTGCGGAGACACAGATCGGGCCACCGCACGCTCACCTCGCATCACCTCGCTCCAGGGTCCACACTCCTCGGGGACCCCCCGGCTCTCATCCCCGGTGCGCGCGTCCTCATCAGCACTGCGAGGATCTCCCCGGGTGTGCACGTGCGCGACGTGGGTCGCACGCCGTGGTGTTGTGCCGTGGTGATGTTCCGTGGTGATGTGCCGTGGTGTCGTGCCGTGGTGATGTTCCGTGGTGATGTGCCGTGGTGTTGTGCCGTGTGTGGTGCCGTGGTGATGTGCCGTGGTGATGTGCTGTGGTGTTGTGCCGTGTGTGGTGCCGTGTGTGGTGCCGTGGTGTTGTGCCGTGGTGATGTGCCGTGGTGTTGTGCCGTGTGTGGTGCCGTGTGTGGTGCCGTGTGTGGTGCCGTGGTGATGTGCCGTGGTGTTGTGCCGTGTGTGGTGCCGTGTGTGGTGCCGTGTGTGGTGCCGTGGTGCTGTGCCGTGTTTATGTGCCGTGGCGGTGTGCGGTGGCGGCGTTGCCGTGCCTCCCCCTCGGTAGACGGCTCGATGTCCGAGTATCGCGACTCGCAGATGACGTCGTCCACGCGGCGCAGCGGCCCCATGGCCACGCCGGGGAAGGCGGCGGAGCAGTCGTAGGCGAAGTAGCGGTAGATCTGCCACGTGCGGCCAAAGTCGGCGGAGCGCTCGATGAGCAGCGACGCCGGGCGGAACGTCTGCGCGCGGCACGCGAAGGAACATCCGTCAGCGCCGTCGTCGTAATGAGAACAGATTCGTCGTCATTATCGTAAAGTTAACATCACCGCCATCAGGATCCTCACCATCGTCGTCGTCATAACAACGTTAAGGTTACCATGATCATCGCCGTTATCACAGTTATCATAACGATCCTCTTCATTATCATCATCATCAACAACATCACAACCACCACCATCGCCGTGCACCCTATCGATTTGACCTCTGACCTTAAAGGTCATGATGAGGTGGGTGAAGTGGAACTCAGCCTCCAGGTCGAGACGCAGGGTCACGTTCTCCACGCCTGCACGCGACACGCAACATGGGAACCTGGGGTGAGTGAGTGGGCGAGCGAGCAGGGTGAGCGGGTTGAGTGGGCGAGCGGGTGAGTGGGCGAGCGGGTTGAGCGGGGTGAGCGGGTTGAGCGGGGTGAGCGGGTTGAGTGGGCGAGAGGGGTGATCAGGCGAGTGAGTGAGCGGGCGAGCCGGGTGAGCAGTTGAGAGGGGCGAGCAGGCGAATAGCTGAGTAGGTGAGCGGGGCGAGCGGGGTGAGCAGGGTGACCGGGCCGCACCGTTCTCGCTCTGCCACCAGGCCTTCTTGCGGTCGAGGGCGAAGGCGGTGATGACGTTGTGGACGCGGTGGCTCAGGGCGCCGTTGCCGCCGCCGCCCACCTCCTCGCGCGAGTCGCACGTGAAGCACTTCTTCTCATCCTGCCGGACGCGACGTGACCGCGTGAACCGCGTGAACCACGTGAACCGCGCAAACGCGATTTGGCGAGCGCCTATTAAGGCCGGGCTCGCATACGGACGACCCGCGGACTCGCTTCTCCGGGGAGATTTCCCAAACAGCGACGCGACTCTCTACCCCCGAAACGTCACCGACGTCGGCTCGTCGCCGCTCCGATGCGGTTTCCTTGCGAGCCGCTCGTCAACGAGAGGCCCCCGCCGCTCCGCTCCTCCCGCACCGCGACGGCCTGCGCCGGGGGTCGCGCCCGCGGAACGAGAGGCAGGCGGCCCCCAGCGGGAGCGCGGCCAATCAGGGGCCTCCTCTCCCCCCCTCGGCATAAAAAAACAAAACAAATCCAGACCGGCTGAGAATTTTTGCGCCCGCGTTGGAACCGACTGAATTGGGGCGTCGCCGCAGCATCGCTCAGCGGCGGCCGGGTCGCTGGCCGGTCGGCACGGAGGCGTTGGCTCGACTCACATTACGGTCGCTTTGTTCGCGTGTTTCACAGACGGGTGTAGTCTGCGTGGGCACCGTGACCGCGCGGGGTCTGTTCTGACTCCGGGTGCCGACAGTGGCACCGTGGAATTGGCAAACGGACGGCGCGTCGAGCGTCCGCACCTGCAGGTGGCTCACGATGCAGTACGGCTGCGGCTGCGCGAGGCCGCACGTGGAGGAGGCCCCGAGGCGGTCGCTGCGCCCCACCAACAGGTCGCCCGTGGCCGGGTAGCAGCTGCCCTGCGCGCAGCCGTGGGGCATCTCCGGCTCGCCGGAGACGGGGCCCAGCAGGGCCAGGAGCGCGGACGCCGCTGCGGGAAACGGACGGGCGCGTTAACGTGGCGGGTGGGGGAGGGGGGGGCGAGCGGCCGCGATCGCACGGTCGAGCTCGTTCGGAGTTCATGCCCGGCGCCGGAGCCGGCGCTTCGCAGGCGGGCACAGGGAGTCGATGTTGTCCCCACCGAGTAGCGGGCATCGCAATTTGGACCGGCAATGCCGGCGCGCGATGATGACGTCCGACTCGGTCGGGATGGCGTCGCGGGATGCGTACGACGGTCCGCTGGGAAGCGGACGGCGCGTAGCGTGCCGCGATGTTGACCGGGGGCGGCCTACCAGGATCTGAACCGCGAGCCTCTGTGGCGAGCGGCGAATCGTTTCAGCGCGCAGCTGCGCTTTTACTTTTCGCCCAGGGGGACTCGCTGCTGGTGGCAGCTGTCCCTGCGCGCCACCGATTCCTGCCCCCCCCCCCCTAATCATGAGCTCACGATGCACACGGGGGGGGGGGGGGGGGAGCGACGAGGCGTGGCCTGGGCAGAACGCAGCGCGTCGAGGCTCGCGGGGAGGGGGGGCCGGGGGGGGGGGGCAGGCTGCACTCGGTGCAGGGAAAACGGAACGGGGAAGCCGAGGCGGTGAGAACGAGACCGACGTGCGACCGATTCCAGAAGCGAACCCTGACCCCACCCCCCCGGATCACGTGCCATCGTTCGTTTTGGGGCTAGTGTAGGGGGGGGTGAATAATTACAGGGGTCACCCCCTCCTCCACTGCCCTCCAACCCACTACCCATACCCATTAACCCCCCCACCCCACCCACTATCCCTGGGTGGCAAGGGGCTTGACAAATTCCACCGCATGGCCCCGCAAAAAAGGCCGGAGGGGGGAATAAACCCTCCACTACCACCACCACCGCCAACAACAAAGCCATCAATCACCACCGTCATGCTGACCTCCACTATCACCACCATCAGACTGTCGGAGCAAGTGCTGGTAGCGGGCACCTATAAAGGCCGTCCGCCATGGGTGGGCAGCACCACGCCCGGCCGCCTTTGTCTCTCCTGTGACGATGTTTACACACCGCGCAAAGTACTCATTTGAGGCCGAGTCAACCTAGGGGAGCTCCAGAACCGGTTCAGATGAATCGCCGCTGATTTTGGGAATCGAGCTTGGGCCGCCGGGTTCATAGCGCTCCTGCCACCGTCATCGGTCATCACAAACACCACTACAGCCTCCACCATCGCAATCATCACTACCACCACCATCACTACCCACTACCACTACAGCCTCCACCATCACAATAATCACTACCACCATCACTACCCACTACCACTACAGCCTCCACCATCACAATCATCACCATCACTACCACCACCATCACTACCCACTACCACTACAGCCTCCACCACTGCAATCATCACTACCACCACCATCACTACCCACTACCACTACAACTTCCACCATCACAATCATCACTACCACCACCATCACTACCCACTACCACTACAGCCTCCACTATCGCAATCATCATCATCACCACCACCATCACTACCTACTACCACTACAGCCTCCACCACCAGAATCATCACCATCACTACCACCACCACCATCACTACCCACTACCACTACAGCCTCCACCACCGTAATCATCACCATCGCTACCACCACCACCATCACTACCCACTACCACTGCAGCCTCCACCACCGCAATCATCACCATCACTACCACCATCACTACCCACTACCACTACAGCCTCCACTATCGCAATCATCACTACCACCATCACTACCCACTACCACTACAGCCTCCACCATCGCGATCATCACCATCACTACCACCACCACCATCACTACCTACTACCACTACAGCCTCCACCACCGTAATCATCACCATCACTACCCACTACCACTACAGCCTCCACCATCGCGATCATCACCATCACCACCACCATCACTACCTACTACCACTACAGCCTCCACCACCGTAATCATCACCATCACTACCACCACCACCATCACTACCCACTACCACTACAGCCTCCACTATCGCAATCATCACTACCACTATCACTACCCACTACCACTACAGCCTCCACCATCGCGATCATCACCATCACTACCACCACCACCATCACTACCTACTACCACTACAGCCTCCACCACCGCAATCATCACCATCACTACCACCACCATCACTACCTACTACCACTACAGCCACCACAACCGCCGCCCCCACAAACACGACCAGGGGCAGGGGGAGGCCTTTGGGGTTTTTTTCAAAATCAGATAACGAAAAAAAAAACCCTCTCGTGGCGGAAACTCCGGGGGGGGGGGGGGGGGCACTGGAAAGTCGTCCCCCACCGCGCCCTCCCCCCCCCCATTTCCCCACCCTGTCCCCTCATCCCCCCAGGCCCCTCCACCCCCCAACCCCGCCCCCCATCCCGCCCCCCACTTCAAACCCCAGCCGGCCGGGCCACGGCCCACGTGGTGCGTGGGAGGAGGGGGGCCCCGGCCGGGGAGAGAGATCGGAGCGCATTCCCAGACGCGCGCGCAGAGGACGAGCGGTGGGGGCGGTGGGGGCGGCGGTGGGGGCGGCGGTGGGGGCGGGGCGGTGAGTCTGTGGCGCTGAATTTTTTTTGATGAAAGCAAAGGGGAGTGGTGGTGGTTGTGCTGATGGTGGTTGTGGTGTGTGGGGAGCGGTAGTGCAGCGGTGCAGCGGTTAGCGCTATGCTGCGCTACGAACCTGGCGACCCGGGTTCGATTCCTGCTCACGGCCAACACCGGTGACGATTATCTGAACCGGTCATGGGCCTCCGCTAGGTCGACTCAGCCTCAAATGAGTACCTGGTGCGGTGTGTCAACATCGCCACTGGGAAGACGAAGGCGGCCGGGCGTGGTGTTGGCCACTCACCCCGTCGTGTGCCGTGCCGGCCTTGATAGGCGCTCGCTAACAGTACTTGCCCCTACAGTCTGTTACAGGCTACACGGGGGATCTTTGTCTTTGTGTGGTTGGTGGTGGTGGCCCTAGAATCAGGGGTGGGGAACCTTTTTTCTGCCAAGGGCCATTTGGATATTTACAACATCATTCGCGGGCCATACAAAATTATCAACTTAAAAATTAGCCTGTTATATTTAGTCAAACATTTAATTAACTCACCCCTAATGTGATGGGTGGAACTGTTTCTCTTTGGTGAGGCGTGTGATATTAGCTGGTATTGATGATGTTAACTGGTATTGATGATGTTAGCTGGTATTGATGATGTTAGCTGATATTGATGATGTTAGCTGGTATTGATGATGTTAGCTGGTATTGATGATGTTAGCTGGTATTGATGATGTTGCTACTCGCAACTGCTTTTCCAGGTTTGCTCCTAGATTTATTGAATTTCGAGTCCCGCCTGTGGTTGCCTTGGCAGGGCCAGAGACCAAATGATTTCGTGGGCCATATACGGCCCGCGGGCCGGCGTTCCCCACCCCTGCGGGCCTAGATGGAGTTTGTGGCCAGAATGGGTGGGCTGGAGGTCCGAGCCGACAATGCGCCCGCGGCCCTCTCGTTTGAACTGAACTAAAAAACACCTTTATTTGATCCACCAGGTGTGAGACCCACGGATCAATAGAGCTAAAAAAAATGTTCAGAAGCGACCTGGCTATCGCAAATGATAGCTCAACGAAATGGCTTGTCGTCATCATCATCATCATCACGTGGTTAATGTAGAGCGGCAGCCAAACACTCGAAACGCGGGGTGATTTCTCAATGTGGAGGAGATAAACGGGAGGACCCGGACAAAAATCCACGCGACCACGGGGAGAGAGAGAGAGAGAGAACGCGCACACGTCAAATATACAGCAGCAGCAGCAGGCATTGTCAGGGTCGGGATCGAACCCACGACCTCCTGTATACCAAGCGAGGTAGTTAACATCTCCTAGCCACCGTGACGACGATGAGAGAGGGAGAGAGACAAGCAAACTCCAAATATACAGCAGCAGGCGCCAGTGTCGGAATCGAACTCACGGCCTCCTTCATACCAGGCCGCCTTTGTCTCCCCAATGGCGTACCCGGCATGGTATGTAAACATGAGTACCGGGGGAGACAAAGACGGCCGGGCGTGCATGGTACTGACCACACCACCCCCCTCGTGTGCTTCATAGGTGCTGCTACTTGCTAACAGCACTTGCCCCAACAGTCTGTTGCAGGATACACGGGGGAGCTCTGTCTTTGTGTTTATGCGTCAGGCAGATCGTCCAAATCACCAACACGACGACCAAAACACGGAGACGGGAGAGAAACCACGACCAGTGGGGGGCACGGTCACGGGGTGGTGACGGTGGTGACGATGACGGTGGTGACGATGATGATTGTGACGATGATGATGGTGACGATGATGATGACGATGATGGTGACGATGATGATGACGATGATGATGACGATGATGGTGACGATGATGACGATGATGGTGACGATGATGATGACGATGATGATGACGATGATGATGGTGACGATGATGATGGTGACGATGATGATGGTGACGATGACGATGGTGACTATGACGATGATGACGATGGTGACGATGATGGTGGAGACGATGATAATGGCGATGGTAGAAATTATGACGACGATGGCGATGATGGTGATGATGGTGACGGCGATGGCTACGATGTGGATGACCGTCCCCGTCCCCCCCGAAACAAGCTCGACGTTAACTCTGTTCCGGGGAACTGGAACAGAGTTTTATTATCACCCTGGGGAAAAGTTTTTTACTTTTATTTTATTTTAACTTTTAGAGCCGACGGTGACCGCGACTGGACGAAGATCGCGCACCGCCTGCGAGGAGACGGAGCGAGATCGCGGTGAAGTATGGCCACGGGGGGGAGGCGAGGCCAAACTTCGCCACGCGGTGCGTGCGGGGCTGTCTGTGCCCGAAGACTTTCCGACTTCGCGAGACGGATTGGACTTGCGGTGGATGTTTGGCGGGGAAACATCGCGGCCCCATGGACACTACCACCACCATCACCACCACCACCCCCACCACCGCCATCACCACCACCCCCACCATCACCACCCCCACCACCCCCATCACCACTCCCACCACCACCACCCCCACCATCACCACTCCCACCACCACCACCCCCACCATCACCACCCCCATCACCACCACCACCCCCACCACCCCCATCACCACCCCCACCACCATCACCACCACTCCGTCTCTTCACGCCGAAACTTCACCGCCAAGAGTGGACGAGGGATGCGGTGGGGGCGAGCGGCACCGGTTGAAGGGGGGGGGGTGGAAACGAACTCGCTGAGATCCACAGGTCTCTGAACATTATTTTTACACCCGATGAATCCGATGAGCGATGAAGCTCTTCGTTTTTTTTCGCGCAGACGCCCAATGGGACAGGCGGGAGTCGTGGTCTCCCGCCCGCCTTTGTCTCCCCCACCCCCCCCCCGTATGCTGGCGGTCCGAATCGCATCGCTGTACAAGGGGGGGGGGGTGCTGTGTGGGTCCGTGCTGAGTAGCCGTAGCGCGCAGTGGGAGGGGGGGGCGATGTCTCGGTCTGTCTGGTTTTTACTCTGGCGGGGTTCCGAGGGGTGGACGCGAGAGAGACTCACCCAGGATGGCGGCAGAGACCCCCATCGCGGCTCCGTCCGTCCGGTCGCTCTCAGTGGCCGCGTCCTGGTGAAGGGACAGACAGGGAGATTGTCTCTCTCTCTCTCTCGCGCTCTCAGGTCAGATATCGCTCGCCACTGACGTTAGCCGTGGCCAAGAATTGAACTCCGGTGACTGGAATCATAGTGCAGCGCTGTTGCTACATATACCACTACCACCACCACCACTGCAAGTCATAATGACACCCACTCACCAACCCACCCACACACTCATCTACCCACCCACTCACCAACCCACCCGCACAATCACTCATGTACCCACTCACCAACCCACCCGCACAATCACTCATGTACCCACTCACCAACCCACCCACACACTCATCTACCCACCCACTCACCAACCCACCCGCACAATCACTCATGTACCCACTCACCAACCCACCCACACACTCATCTACCCACCCACTCACCAACCCACCCACACACTCACACACCCCACTCGCCACACTGCAGGTCACTTCACTTATCTTTCTGCTTCTCCCCTCGCTCTGCTCCACTGTAGAATTCCCACTCCCATCATCATCGTCATCATCGTCGTCGTCATCATCGTCATCATCATCATCATCGTCGTCTCTCTTCCCAAGCTCTTACAACTATAACCTCGCTCAATTCAAGACACCTGTCAACTCTTTGTCTATTCATAATAGTGTTTTTGGGTTAAATCGCGTAAATGTATCGATGTGTCGTTAAACCCGCCACCACCCGACACAGACAACTATTAAGGGTTGTCACATAAACAGAACGTGGCCAATTCGTCGCTAGTACAGCACTAGTGTATAGTGTAGTGTGTAGAGATGTATAGTGTAGTGTATAGTGTAGTAGTGTAGTGCATAGTGTAGTGTATAGTGTAGTATACTAGTACAGCACGTCGGTGTGTTGGAGAGCCAAGCCACAACATTTACAAACTGAGTACGACGTTTCACCAGTAATTACAACTGGCTTCATCAGGCGACAGCCAGATTTGTGAAGTCCACCTATTTCGTTCCTTATATAGAGGCGTAGATGTGACGAATTGGCCACGTTCTGTTTACGTGACAACCCTTACTAGTTGGCTGTGTCGGGTGGTGGAGGGTTTTAACGACACAACATTTAGATATTCACGCGATCTGACCCCCCAAAAAAACCTCTTATGGATGATGATGATGTTGGTGGCGAAAGCCCACTCCGTGTCTTTGTCTATTCCAACTTGGGTAGTGCCGCTTTGTTGCTGGTCGCTTGACGGGTCTGACCTTTGGGCCCAGTGTGCTGGGCGAGGGGGGACGGGAAATGAAAACTACACGGTCACAAATGTGAGCCCAACGAAATGGGGCCTCATCGCGTGGACAATGATAGCGGCCAAACACTCTGGACGCGTGGTGATGTCGATTCTAAACGTGGAGGGGGAAAAACCCGGAGGACCCGCAGAAAAATCCACGCGACCACGAGGAGAGAGAGAGAGAGAGAGAGATGCGAACCCCAAATATATAGGCTTCAGGGTCGGGCTCGAACCCACGATCTCCTGTATACCAGGCGAGGTAGTCAACATCTCCTATCCACCGTGATGATGATGATGAGAGAGAGAGACACCGCAAACTCCAAATATACAGCAGCAGTCGTCAGGGTCGGGATCGAACCCACGACCTCCTGTATACCAGGCGAGGTAGTTAACATCTCCTAGCCACCGTGATGATGATGATGATGAGAGAGAGACACGTAAACTACAAATATACAGCAGCAGCAGGCGTCGGGGTCGAACCCAGGAAACCGCCACAAACGCCGACTCGACGTTTGTGGCAACCTCGGGTGCTGCTGGCGGCAGAGCGCAAGAGGCGACGCGACTCAAGAAGGCGGAGGGGGGGCAGGGGGGGGCAGGGGGGGCTTCGCTCGAGCCCGGCGCTGCTGATGAGGCACGGAAAGGCGTGAGCGGCTGTCCGCGGTGTGGCCGAGGCGATGCGCTCCCGCGGGGTTCACGCCGGCCATGCCGCGGTGCGCGAGAGCCTGGCCGCTCGGCTCCCACTCGCTGGGAACTCGAGACTCGTCATCGTCGTCCAGACTCATCATCATCATCGAGACATCATCATCAACATCATCGACACTCCTCATCATCATCCTGCCGGGGGAGCTATGAAGGGCTGTGTGGAGTCTCCGGCTCTTCCACTGGTGGCCAGGCGTCTCGACAGACGCGAGGGCACCCACACCACACCCCACCTCGTGCGCCACCTCTCCATCGTCCGCGGTTAACCCCGCGGGCATTTGCGTGGCGGTCATCGTCGGGCGAGGCAGAGCGAGCAGAGTTCGTCGGAGCCGCTGCCGCGCCCGGGTGACACAACCAGCGGCGACCTCCGCACGAGCGGTGAGCAGCGCTCCGAACTTAAAGCCCCGGTCGGTGCGAACCGCAGATGGGGGTCGCTCCAGCGGAGGTGACGACTCGTGGTGACCCAGCCTGGCACTGCAGTGAGTCGTCGCGAGACTCTCACACAGACCCCGTGAGACTCTCACGCAGACCCCGTGAGAGTCTCACGCAGACCCCGTGAGAGTCTCACGCAGACCCCGTGAGAGTCTCACGCAGACCCCGTAAGAGTTTCACGCAGACCCCCGCGAGTTTCTCACGCAGACCCGGTGAGAGTCTCACGCAGACCCCGTGAGAGTCTCACACAGACCCCGTGAGAGTCTCACGCAGACCCCGTGAGAGTCTCACGCAGACCCCCGCGAGACTCTCACGCAGACCCCGTGAGAGTCTCACGCAGACCCCGTGAGAGTCTCACACAGACCCCGTGAGACTCTCACACAGACCCCGTGAGAGTCTCACACAGACCCCGTGAGAATCTCACGCAGACCCCCGTGAGACTCTCACACAGACCCCCACGATACTCTAACGCAGACCGCCTCCACTCACCGCGAGTCTCTCGCCTGAAGTTCTCTGCTGCACGCGGCTCTGTGTGTGTGAGAGAGTGTCTCTCTCTGTGTGTGAGTCTCTCTGTGTGTGTGTGAGTCTCTGTGTGTGTGTGATAGTGTCTCTCTGTGTGTGAGAGTCTCTGTGTGTGTGTGTGAGTCTCACTGTGCGCGTCGCTCTGTGCGTTGCGGGGCTCGGAGCGAGCGACGAGGATTGGGGAGGGGGGAGTCAGGAGGAGGAGGGGGGGGGTGAGCATGGGGGGAGGGGAACACGGGATGAGAGGGGCATGGCTGTGCTGGTGGCGTGGTTGGAAAAAGTGGTGGTGGTGCTGGTGAATGTAGTACAGTGTTGGTGATGGTTGGGGGTGTTTGGGTTAGCGGGGCGGTGGTGTAGAGGTTCAATGCCCTGTGCAACTAACCCAGCGAACCGAGTTCGATTCCCGCTCACGCCCAACACCCAGTGACGATTATCTGAACCGGTCCTGGGCCTTCCCAAGGTCCACTCGGCCTCAAATGAGTACCTGGTGCGGTGTGTTAAACATCGCCACTGGAGATACAAAGGCGGCCGGGCGCTGCGTTGGCAAACCCACCCCTTCGCGTGCCGTGCCGGCCTTCATAGGTGCTCGCTAACAGCACTTGCCCCTATATTCTGTTAAGGCTACACGGGAGATCTTTGTCTTGTGTTGGTGATGGTTGGGGGTGTTCGGGTTAGCGGACCGGTTCAGTGCCCTGCGCTACGAACCCGGCGACCCCAGTTCGATTCCCGCTCACGACCAACACCCAGTGACGATTATCTGAACCGGTCCTGGGCCTCCCCAAGGTCTACTCGGCCTCAAATGAGTACCCGGTGCGGTGAGTAAACATCGCCACTGGGGAGACAAAGGCGGCCGGGCGTTGCGTTGGCCAACCCACCCCCTCGTGCGCCGTTCCGGCCCTAACGTAGGTGCTGCTCGCCAACGGCACTTGACCCCAGCAGTCTGTCGACGGGTCACACGGGGGTGGGAGAGATCTTTATTTTGCACTTTTGAGTGCACTTTCAAATAAAACCGTTGTTTAAAAAATATATATTTTTAAAGGAGTTTATGTGGGATTCCTGTTGGTGCGCAAAGTGGTGTGGGGGGGATGGGGGAAGAGGCCGCGGTGTTTTTCGGGGGTCGCTGAGTGCCGCTCCACACACAAAGGGAGAGAGACTCCGCCCGCGTGCATTTGGCGGTCCAAATCATCGCAGTTGGGGAAGGATCCTCCCGGGGACGACTCTTTGTGTGGTTTGTTTTGGTGAGAGATTCACGGGGGGGGGGGGGGGTCTGCGAGCGGCTGTGTGCGCGCGAGGCCACGTGGAAGCGGCACGTTCCGTCCGCCCTTCGCAATCTGTCCCTCCACGTGAATAATAATAACAACAACAACAAACAACGCGTCTTTACGCATCCCGTCAGCCACATCGGCCAGTGTCTCATCATGATCACCAGCGGCAGCGGCAGCAGGAGGAGGCTCGGGGCGACGACTCCGGCAAGGCTGAGAGACGTCGCTCGCAGAGGCCCCGCGCGTGCTCACGGGATGAGTCGAAGAAAAAAAGACGACGGGCGACATCCCCCGGTCGCTTGTTTCGTGATTGTTTGGCGGACGCGCGCTTAGCCGCCGGAGACGACTCGCGCGCGTTAGAGAGGGGGCAGGGAGGGGAGGGGGGACAGGGATGGGGGGGAGGGAGAGGGGGGGCGGGAAGCGGAATGTGACTCCAGATTTCTTTGTTCATCGCTGGCGGGGGAGGGGGGATGGAGGGGGAGGGTGGAGGGAGGGAGGGGGGTGGAAGGGAGGGTAGGGAGGAGGAGAGGGAGGGGGGAGGAAGGGAGGGGGGAGGAAGGGAGGAGGAGAGGGCGGGGGGAGGAAGGGAGGAGGTTGACCTCGTCAGGAAGGCGCGAGGCTGTGGATGTTTGGTCGCGCGTGTTTTTATCTCAAACCGGAGCCCCGCCGCCATTTCCCTCTGATGATGAACTGGCTGCTCAGATGCTCTCCCGACACAACCGACACCACCAGCCACAACAACACCACCACCACCAGCCACAACACCACCAACAACACCAACAACACAAACAACACCACCAGCCACAACAACACCACCAGCCACAACACCACCAACAACACAAACAACACCACCACCAACAATAACACCACCAACAACAACCACCACCAACAACACCACCACCAACAATACCACCACCAACAACACCAACAACAACAACCACCACCACCAACATCACCACCATCAATACCAATACAACCGCCATTCGCCACTAAGTGACGGCGACGTCACCAAGGCGCTTGTGCCAGGCTATGTGTACTTTGAGGCCATCACGTGAAGTGCCAAACGCCCGCTGGCAGCAGGAGGTCTCGGGACAGACCCAGCAGGTGCCACGGGTCGACTGACTGAGATGACTGAGATGACTGGCTGTTGCACCACCTGTGCCCCCTACTGTGCCAACTTGCTGCATTTGGGCCGCCCGGCGCTCAGCTCGTTGTTGTGAGCGTCGTTCCTCCGACCTCCGTTGTTGTTGGAGGTCGACTGCCTCCAACTGCCCAGCAGCAGCGTCCTTCACGAGCCTCCTCCACAGAGGTCGATCTTGACACCGCTGGTACCAGTCATCGGCAAGTCCACTCAGCTCCACGCTCTCTTGTACCACATCACTCCATCTCTTCTCCAGCCCATGTCGTGCCCGTTTAGCCCTCTCTATGCGGCCAAACAGAAGCTGCTTGGGCATGCGGTGGCTGGGCATGCGGGATACATGACGCAGCCAAGGCAGCCTTTTCCGCCGGACGAGCTCACTGATGGGAATGTGTCCAAATATTTCAAGCATTTGTGAGCTTCTCACACAATCCAGCCTGGTTAAACCCAGGATGGATCGTAGGCATGTCAGCTTGAATGTTTTAACCGGCGCAGATGTTCCATTAGAGGGGTCCATGTTGCACAAACACAGAGAAGGGAGGGCATGACTGTGGCCGAGAAGACCCGAAGCTTCGTGCAGAGCGACAGACCAGGTAGTTTCTTCACTATTACGCAGCCAATTTAAAGATAATGCCGCCCGACTGATTCGGAGTAAGACCTCTGCTGTCAAACCGGAGCTGGCCATTGGCACACTGCTCGGGTATGGGAAACTCTCCACTCTCGCCACAACTGCCCCATCACCAATGGGGAGCTGAGGGGGTGAAGTGTTTGCTGGCACAAAATACCCAGGCAGGTGCTTAGTTTTGGTGGGGTTGATGGTAAGTCCCCAACTCTTAGTGGTAAGCTCCAGGTTCATCAGCAGCGCCTCCAACTCATCCTCTGAGTGAGCAGCAATTACCAGATCATCGGCATACATAACGTGGTTGAGCAATAGGGAGCCATGCCTCGACCACACCCGGGCATCGATCAGCTCCCCATTATATCTGTACCAGATGGAAATTCCTCCGGTACAGCCATGGAACAACACCACCAACAACACCACCAACACCACCGCCACCAACAACACCACCAACCACAACACCACCAACAACACCACCAACCACAACAACACCACCAACACCACCAACCACAACACCACCAACAACACCACCAACCACAACAATACCACCAACCACAACAACACCAACAACACCACCTACCACAACAACACCAACAACCACAACAACACCACCGCCACTAACACTACCACCAACAACACCACCACCAAGACCACTTCCAATAAAACTACCACCACCACCAACAACACCACCAATACCACTTCCAACAACGCCAATAAAACTCCCACCACTAAAAAAACTATCACCCCCAAGAACAACAAACAACAACCACCACCACTCGGCTGCTGTAGCTGCTGCGGTTAAACATTTACACCACACACATAGCCTTGGAGGCGCACACTGGGCAACTTCTTGTAAATTATACCACGGGGTGCTACACAGACTGCTTTGGTAAACAAGATCGATGGTGGTGGTTATGACGATGGTGGTGGTGAAAACTCTGAGAGTTGGCGGTGGTAGTTGTGGTGGACACGATGGTTGCGTGTGGAGCGAGTCATGGAGATGACGCGCGTGGTGGCTCCTCTTCCTCGTGCGAACGATGGAAGTGGCAGCAGCAGCGACATCGCGCAGGGCCTCGCGGTCGTGGGATCCCTGGCCACGACGAGAAGTGGCCGGCCACGAGGCCAGTTTGGCCCGGAGTCCCTCTCAATGTTCAGTCTCCCTGCGCCAAATGCCGTGTTCGGTCGTTCCCTCATCCTTGCACCCTACCACAGGAATCAGAATCAACCCCCCCCCCCCCTGTACATCTCTGGTGGGGGGATGGGAGGGGAGGGAGGAGGGGAGGGAGGGGGTAGGGGGCGAGGGGGGAGGGAGGAAGGGGGGGGGGAAGGGGAAGAGAGGGAGGGGGGAATGGAGCCCCTCCACCCACATCTTTAACCTCGTTTCCTTCCCCTTTTAAAGCCTCCCCACCTCTTCTCCACTGCCCATTCCCTTCCTCTTCCCTCCCCTGGGCCCTCCACCCCTTGGCGTCCCTCCCCTATCGCCCTTTCGTGTGACCCCCCCCCCCCTCCCCGCTGCGTGCCCTCCGTGACGGCCGCTCCATTCCTCGGCCCTTGCGCGGCCCCTTGCCATCCGGCAATGCAAATAGGTCCCATCATGTAGCTGCTGCTCACCCCGAGCGGTAAACGCTCCGGTGCGTGCATTGCCCTTGTACTGTTCGCCTTTCGGCGTCGTTCATTGGTCCTGACACCGGTGAGACTGGGCCATGAAGACGGCTTTCTTGGTGTGGACCAATCAGTTTCAAGGACAATGCCAATATATTATCATAGTATGTTTTTTTTGGTGGCATTTTGACTGCAGGTATTGTGGTTAATGCAGACATGAATCCTTGTAAAAAAAAGTTTCAGTTTTGTTGCCAGAAAAAAGGGGGAAAAAAACCCCTATTATTACATTTTGGTACTGGCAAAGGAGGTCTAACCATGTAGATGCTCTCCACGTGCGTCGCCCTCGATCGCCGTCACCGCGGTTGAACTCTGTCCAGCTCCCTCGAGATGAGGCGGCGCGCTCCGTAGGATTAAAGTCAGATCGGGCGGTCGGTCCACTCGAAGAAGGCCCTCGTCCAATCGGTTGCTCGTCCGGGTCCACGACGTCGACTTCGGTTGCGGGGGTCAGAGGCCGAGCGAGTGTCGCAGTCGTGAGGACGCCGTCGTCGGCTCAGGCGGTGCGGCAATCGGTCGGAGCGAGCGCCCACAATGTTTCAGATTTGATTTCGTCTCGCACGGTCGCGCCCAGGAGGCTATTCTACATCGTGGGCCCTCGTGCCCTAATCGCATCGTCGTGGCGCTCACGGTCTCGACCATTTAACGCTGTAGGGGGCGCTCCGTCTTGGCAAGCAATATTGTTGAAGACTGAAGACACATTTCGTGGTGGTTGTCAAGAGGGCCCCCAACTCGTAGCTTTGGCCACCGGGGAAGGGACGGGGGGGGGGGGCATGGCACCGCCTGCTCCCACGCTCGTCACACTGCTGGGCCGAGAGCCTTCCCACTGGCTGCCGTCGCGGCAATGACTGTGACGTCAGGGGCAGTCCATAAATGATGTCACGCACCTGGCGGGGGGGGGGGGGGGGTCAGACATTTGTGACGATGTGTGACGAGGGGGGGGGGGGGTTGAGAAATGTGACGTCACATCAAAATGTGCAACTTTAAATAAATATAGACAACACGTTGTACTTAATTAAATAGATTTTTTAATACATGTTTTCTCCTTCAACATCAGAGTGCAGCGCCACATTAAATACGCACTACAATGACAATAGTTTATGGCGATTTGAAGCATGTTTTTTTTTTTGGGGGGGGGGGGTAGAGCTTTGTGACGTCATATTTGAGGGGGCGGTCTGACTTTTTGTGACGCCGTTTGACGAGGGGGGGAGGAAATCGTCCAAAATCGCGTGACGTCATTTATGGGCGGCCCCTCACTCTCCAGTCACGTGCTGTTGGGCGAACGAATCGTTTTCTGGCGTTTGGTTGTAGCACGCGGACGCGGAGGGCGGTAACGGCGGGCGTGGTCGAGTCGTGTGGTGGTGCATAGCGTGGTTGTGTAGGGTGTGATTGTGTAGGGTGTGGTTGTGTAGGGTGTGGTTGTGGTGTAGGGTGTAGTTGTGGTGTAGGGTGTAGTTGTGGTGTAGGGTGTGGTTGTGTATGGTGTGGTTGTGTAGGGTGTGGTTGTGGTGCAGGGTGTGGTTGTGGTGCAGGGTGTGGTTGTGGTGTAGGGTGTGGGTGTGGTGTAGGGCGTGGTTGTGGTGTAGGGTGTGGTGTAGGGAGTGGTTGTGGTGCAGGGTGTGGTTGTGGTGCAGGGTGTGGTTGTGGTGCAGGGTGTGGTGCAGGGTGTGGTTGTGTAGGGTGTGGTTGTGGTGTAGGGTGTGGTTGTGGTGTAGGGTGTGGTTGTGGTGTAGGGAGTGGTTGTGGTGCAGGGTGTGGTTGTGGTGTAGGGAGTGGTTGTGGTGCAGGGTGTGGTTGTGGTGTAGGGAGTGGTTGTGGTGCAGGGTGTGGTTGTGGTGTAGGGAGTGGTTGTCGAGTGGTGACGTAGCGGTCAGCGCTACGCTGCGCTCCGAAACCCCGGCGATCCGAGTTCGATTCGCGCTCACCGCCAAAGGGCCGTCCATAAATGACGTCACGCGATTTTGGACGATTTTTGACCCCCCCCCGCTCGTCACATGGCGTCACAAAAAGTTAGACCCCCCCTCAAATATGACGTCACAAAGCTCTGCCCCCCCCCCCCAAATAAAACATGCTTCAAATCGCTTTAAACTCTTGTCATTGTAGTGCGTATTTGATGTGGCGCTGCACTCTGATGTTGTAGAACACAATTATTTAAAAGTCTATTTAATTAAGTAGAACGTGTTGTCTATATTTATTTAAAGTTGCGCATTTTCATGTGACGTCACATTTCTCAACCCCACCCCCCTCTTCACACATCGTCAAGAGTGTCTGACCACCCCCCCCCCCCCCCCAGGTGCGTGACGTCATTTATGGACGGCCCCCAACACCCAGTGACGAGTATCTGAAACGGTCCTGGGCCACCCCTAGGTAGACTCAGCCTCAAATTAGCACCTGTTGTGGTGTGTAAACATCAGCACTCGGGAGACAAAGGCGGCCGGGGGTGGCACTTGGCTACTCGCACCATGGATGTGCCGTACCGGCCTTTTCAAGGATGCTGCTACTTCGCCAACAACACTTACCAAAGGTCTGTTGTGGCTATAAGGGGGATCTTTGTCTTTGTTGTGGTAGTGTGTTTGTGGTGTAGTTATAGAGTAGTTGTGGTGTCGTCTGTGGTTGTGGTGTAGTGTGGTTGTGGAGGGTAGTTGTGGTGGTTGTGGTGTAGTGTGGTTGAGGAGGGTAGTTGTGGTATAGTGTTGGTTGTGGAGAGTAGTTGTGGTGTAGTGTGGTTGTGGAGTGCAGTTGTGGTTGTGGAGAGTAGTGTGTGGTGTAATGTGTGGTTGTGGTGCAGTGTGGTTGTGGTGCAGTGTGTGGTTGTGGTGGGGTGGTTGTGAAGAGTGATTGTGGTGGTGTGGTTGTGAAAGAGTGGTTGTGGGGGTGTGGTTGTGAAAGAGTGGCTGTGGTGCAGTGTGGTTATGGTGCAGTGTGGTTGTGGTGCAGTGTGTGGTTGTGGTGGTGTGGTTGTGAAGTGATTGTGGTGGTGTGGTTGTGAAGAGTTGTTGTGGTGCAGTGTGTGGTTGTGGTGTGGTTGTGAAGAGTGGTTGTGTGCAGTGTGGTGGTGTGGTTGTGAAGAGTGGTTGTGGTGCAGTGTGTGGTTGTGAAGAGTGGTTGTTGCTGGCTGTTGGCCTCATGCGGCCAGACCACCGCTCGCCTCCCCACCGCCAGCCGCGAATCGAACGCGAGGTTGCAGGCGACTGGCAGAGCGGTTACAGCCACAGCATCGGATTCTTGAATCCACCTGTACGGAGTTGTCACCCCCCCCTCCTCCTATGGCAAACTCTGAATGAATGGGATTCATGGCCAGGCACCGCAACGTGGCAGTGTCCGCAGTGGGGTTTAACTCTCCAACACACTAGTCAGCCGGCAGAGTGCTAAAACTAGTAACTCACGGGCACGTCTTTGTTGACGCGACACAGATCCTTACTAACTGGCTGTGTCAGGTGGTGGCGGGTTTAACGGCACATTTATATATTTACGCGATCAAACCCCCCCCCCCCACCCCCGAAAACCCCCCGATATTATGGCTGATATTAGTCGCGAAAGTCTTCGTGTTAAACAACGTATTCGCTTTGTCCTGGTCAAAACGCGTCAATGCCTCGCAACCGCTGAGTGGCTCCATGGCGCCACCTGGCGGTGCTTGCGGCCAATCGCCATCAGCACCTCGGGCAGAGGGCCCGTGCCCGGAACGTCCCCCCAAAATAATAAAGGAAAATGAGACCGTGTTCTGTGCGATTCCTTCCGTGTCAATCCACTGCCGGACGAGAGCCTCCCTTGTCCGTGCAGGCCTTGGGCGCTAAATGACCATACTTCACCGGGCTGGTAAGTGCGGTTCGCGAAGACGGAGGGCATACATAAAAATGAACTCGAGAACGAAACAGGAGGATTTCTCCACAAATCTGACTGTCGCCTGATGAGGCTGGTTGCAATTACTGGCGAAACGTCGTACTCCGATTGTGAGTGTTGCGGATTTACTCTCAAACACAGCGGTGTTGCTGTACTAGACCTTACTAATTGACTGTCGGGTGGTGTCGGTTTTGAGCGACACATTTATATATTGACGCGATCTTGTCCAATTAAAAACCTCTATTATGGATGTTGGTCGCGAAAGCCTCCGTGTGAAACGCACTCGACTCCGCTGCCCTCGAGCAGCCTGTAGCACCTGGTACGCACCTAGGGGTTCCAATCGTCGGGAGGCCGGCTACGGGAGCGCTCGCCATTTTTTCCGAGGCCCGAGTAAGCAAAGGCACGGAGCGAACAGTGGATTGTAAATTGTTCGCGGACAAGGGAAACACACTTGCAAGTCATGCCGAAAAAGATCTTCAGAGGACCGCGAAGCTTGGACAAATGTTGGCTCGTCCGCGGTGACTGGGCGACCGAGGGGTGCAGTCTGCACGACGATCCGCGCAACGCTGCACACGCGCGTCGTTTCACGTGACCGGACAGAGGAACCATCGGAGACCCGGGATATTTCTTGACCATTTCCTCACCGCTCGAGAGCTTCCCCCCCCCACCCACCTCCCCCCCCCACCCACCTCCCCCCCCCGAAGGACATCTCAGCTGGCAGGCGCACTCCGTCACCGACGTTTAATGGTTTTTGATGGTGGGTAACGCACGTATCACACACACACTTTATACACAAGACGGCAGCATTTCAGGGTTTTGAGTTAAGACGATCATAATCACAGCAAAAGGGTTCGTAAATTCACGTTCAGTTTCTTAAGAAGCTATCAGCACGTGGATGGAAACGTCGGGACATCGTACCGCGCAGCACGCGGTGCAATCGGGGAACGCACGGGGGGTAGCTGTACGCCGGAGCGCACCGGCGGGCACGGGTGCACTGTCGGTCCTCGCTCCCCGTGTAGCCGGACCCCCCACCTGTGTCGTTAATCTGCACGCAGGCCAAAGTGCAGCCCCTGCAACTGATCACTCCGCGTTGCAGCTGCGCAGTTCTGTACGAGCAGTGGAACGAACCGCCTTGGGCGCAGCGGGGGACGAGAGGGAGCTTCCCACGGACACCGGCACCAGCCTCGCCGTTGCCGGCAGGGGGAGCTCCAGGCTCCAATGAGACCGAGTGAACGTTGTTGACTCGGGGCGGCCGGGCCGAGTCGGTCCAATCGGAGGACAGAGTCGGGGTGAAAGTGGCGTTCCCCTGACTTGCCAAGTGACTCGGGTGACCGCGCGCGTTGGGCGGGGCTTTCCCAGAAGCCCTTGCGGGTGGAAGGCATCACGAGTGCTGCCCGAGTGGAGGCCTCCTGCCAGCTTGAGCAATCGCAGGGCTGCACTTTGACCTTTAGCTACTTGAGAGCAAAGGTCAGGACCGCGTTGCTGACAACATTAAATACTGAGTGTTAATTGTTTTATAATGTATTAAAACGCAGGATGTTTACGCTTAAACGTGTGATCGTGAAATTAAAAGTGTAAAGGCTAACGTTTGTGGCCAACCGACAAGCCACCCACTTTGAGTCGCAACGTTTGTCGACATAGGATCACTGCCGAGTTGTTGTCAGGGCGGAGTGACACCGGGCCGGAATATTCTGGCTGCGGCCCCTAACTCCTGCCCAAGTCGAGTTTAAGAAATTATAACAAATGGCGACGCGGTGCCGAGTCGGCAGCTCCAGTTCTAACTCGAGTGGAGCGGCTCACGGCAACCGGGTGCAGACATCCGAACACGGCAGTCACACAGCACAGCTCCCACACAAGACAGCTGAAAGCAAACCACAGGCGGTTTTGTTTATACTGCGGCAGAGGTGAAGCCGTGGCAGCCACGGCAGCGAGACGTTGAGGTTGCTACATTGACCATGATGTGAAATAAACGAGTTCTCCGATCAAACCGCAACTCCGAATCGCACCGATCCAAATGACTTGCACGTGCAATCGTTACTCACAGATTACTTTAGATTTGGGACAGCAAAAAAAAAATCACAACTTCGAAGCCATTAAACAAAAATTAACAAGTTAAGTAGTTACACTGAGAAGACAAGAGATAACACGCTGGCTAAACACATCACCGTGACTGTTAAGAGGAGTGGGCATGGGCAGGGTCGCGGCTACGAGGGACGACGACCGACGGTCGCCACGGGCGGCAGCCGAGGGACGCTGAAGCGTGCCCGAGAGGGTGCAGCTGGGTGGATTAACACATCGCAGGGTCGCGCGAGATGGCGACGAGTTTGGGGGAAGCCTTCATCCAGCAGTGGATTGACCGTGGCTGAAGATGATGATGACTCAGTAAGTGGGTGACACTTCAGCAATATAGCGACAGATACTGGGTGTGGGTTGACGCCGTGGCACTGGTTAGCGGACGAATGGATTAGCGAGGGGTTGAGCGAGCGAGCGAGCGAGTGGGTGTGCAAGTGGATGAGCGAGCGGACGAGCAAGTGGGCGAGTGGGTGTGCAGGCAGATGAGCGAGTGCGTGAGCAGACGAGCAAGTGGGCGAGCGGTTAAAACGGGCGAGCGGGTGGTCGAGCAGAGCGTGCGGTGGAGCGGGCGAGCTCACTACCGCGCGTCGTCCGCGCTGTACATCCCGCGTGCACGGCGCAGCACCGAGTCCTTGGTGGCGTCGTAGGGGTGCTCCTTGGAGGGGATCTCCAGCACGGCTGGGATGGAGCGGTTGTGAGCGTCCACCACGTGGCGGATCATCTCGGCGATGAACTGGTTGATGAGGATGATGGCGATGTCGTCCCGAATGAGGAAGCTCCTGTCGCGGGACGAAGAGAAACAAAGCACCCGAGTGAAGGTTACATTTCACGTTTACCATCCCCCCTCCCTCCAACCGCCTCGCCCAACGTTACCCGGACCGTGCCATCAGCATTACGGGACGAAGCACCCGATAAAAACTTTAGCACGGCAGGGCAAACCCACCCGCCCACAGAGGTGGCACAGCACCAAGAAACTTCTGGGATCCGCTTCAGGTGACCTGTGCTTCACACTTCAAGGGGGCATCTTTTCCACCCATCCACATCCGAGCAATGTTCGCCGCTTGACGGACAAACCGAAACCCAAGCATCGCAGGTGGATTTAGCCACGGCGCAGAGAAGAACCCAACTGAACAAGGTGTGTTTGTTGTGGTCAAGGTGTGTTTGTTGTGGTCACTTGGGGAGACCTCTCGACTCGCTCACTCCACTTGAGAACCCTGATCCGAACCCAGCGTCTCAGCGGTGCCAGCTCAACCGCTCTGACCTCTGAGCAAGTGCTGTTAGCGAGCACCTGTTCCGGCTGGCACAGCACCACGTGCCCGCCACTTCGGTCTGCAGTGTTGATGTTTAACGCAGGAACTCGTTTAAGACTGAGCCAACACAGGACAGGGATTGGACAGGTTAAGATGTTAAATGAACACTGATGATGGCCGTGGGCAGGAGTCGAACTGGGGAGCCTGGGTTCATAGTACAATGCGTTAACCACTACACTACCGCTCCCTCCGCACACACACACACCTCAACACAACGACTCGTACAAGACAATACCCACTGGCTAACCACTAAAACCAGGATGGTTATGTGGGTTATGGCCAGGATTGAGTGCCGGGCTGACAGGCGCCTGCAGTAATGACACAACAAGAGACACGCAACACCCTGCACAGCCATCGCCCGCCATGGTCAAGCCACTGCTGGATGAAAAGGGGGCCTCTCTCTCCCATCACGTGGTACGCAAACGGGGATACAACCACAAAACGGGGGGGCACATTCAGATCGTAGCGACGTCTCCCGACTCGGACCGTTGCAGCCCATACTAAGCCGGCGGTGGAAAGTCGACATTTCTTTGGCGGGGACCAGTGATGCCGTGGCAATTGTTGATAGAAAAAAAATGTGTTCGTAAAAAAAAAAGTGTTTGTTAAGAAGAGTTAAGATTCCGGGCCACGGCTGATGTCAGTGGCGAAATGAGAATCGGTTCCAAGTCTCCCCACTCCAGCCTCCCCAAATCCGCGGTGACCAGCGTGGTGAAGTATGGCCAAACAGCCTCAATTGACCGAAACGGCCAGGTGGACGTAGTCATCCAGCAGTAGACGCATACACAAACACACATAGACGAGTAGACAAACACAGAGACGAGTACACAAACACAGAGACGAGTACACAAACACACAGACGAGTACACAAACACACAGACGAGTACACAAACACACAGACGAGTACACAAACACAGAGTACACAAACACACAAGAGACGTCGAGTATTCACCGCCACGGCCACGAAACGGAGATTCTCTCTCGAGCGAGAAGGCATCGGGCATTTTATTACGCCACCACCGACGATGATGATGATATTGACGCTGATGATGCCGACGATGATGCCGACGACGATATTGACGATGACGCCGACGATGATATTGACGATGACGACGACAATGATGATGATATTGACGATGATGACGCCGACGATGACGACGATGATGCCGACGACGAAGACGACGACGATGATGATGATATTGACGATGATGACGCCGACGACGATGATGACGATTCCCGTGCCGAGGACTTGGCCGCGGCGGCCGTGGATTTGACCGCCGCCGCCGCCGCCGCCGTCGCCCAGGCGGGGAACATCGCCCAGGCCGCGCCGAGGTTCAGTTCAGCTCCATGTATTAGGTACAGAGCCGTGTGAGCCATGCGGCTCTTGAATCACGACCAAGAAAACATCTTAACGTGATGATGGTGGTGGGGATGATGATGATGGTGGGGACCCCCCCCCCCCCCAATGTTAGGCCGCGAGCCACCGGCGTCTCGCGCGGGGCCCCGGGCGCACGGGACGCCGGCAGAGAATCTATCCGAGAGGCGGCGAGTCACTCACCCCGCACACCACCACCACCACACCACCACCACACCACCACCACCACACCACCACCACACCACCACCACCCCGCACACCACCACCACCACACCACCACCACCACCCCGCACACCACCACCACACCACTATCACACCACCACCACCCCGCACACCACCACCACACCACCACACCACTATCACACCACCACCCCGCACACCACCACCACCACACCACCACCACACCACCACCACACCACCACCACACCACCACCACCCCGCACACCACCACCACCACACCCGCTATTCTCTTTGCAACGTGGAACATCATACTCTCTCGGTAAAAGTCACGTAGAAAAATAATAATAGATCACTACGTACACAAATACTGATCTATTATTATTTCTACCTACGTGACTTTACCGATTAGAACCAGAGAGTATGGATTCCTGCAGTCACGAAGGCTTCAAATGAAGACGTGGAGCATTGTTTGAACGCGGTGCGTACCTACAATACACTGTACGTACAATACACGTACGTACGTTGAACTTCTTTCGCACCGTACGTAGCCAACCGTGCTTATCAACCCATCCAGAGAATGATTTTTAGTAGCGTTACCCCCCCCCCCCGTGCGTCTTCCTTCACAAACCCAAACAATCATTCGGCCTAAACCCCCTCCTCCTCCTCACTTGAACGTCTCCTCGATCTCCGTGACGCTCGTCTCCTTCTCCACCACCAGGAAGTTTGGCTTGCGGTTCTTGTTGAGCTCTCCCACGCCGCCCAGCAGGAAGCCCGTGCAGGTGTCCTGGTCCCCGATCACAGCGATCAGCTTGCCCCGGCCCGCCATCGAATCTCAGTCCTTCTCGACCACGGCGAGCAGAGCGAGTGAGACGGAGAGTCACGTGACCCGGGCAAGCCGGGTGACACGTGACCCCGCCCCCTCCCTCCTCCTCCCAGCTCCTCCCTCCCGCCCCCTCCCTCTCCCTCCCGCCCCCTCCCTCCTCCCTCCCGCCCCCTACCTCTCCCTCCCGCCCCCTCCCTCCCCCTCCCGCCCCCTCCCTCCCCCTCCCTCCCCCTCCCTCCCCCTCCCGCCCCCTCCCTCCCCCTCCCTCCTCTCCCCCTCCTCCCTCCCGCCCCCTCCCTCCCTCCTCCCTTCCGCCCCCTCCCGCCCCCTCCCTCCTCCCGCCCCCTCCCTCCTCCCTCCCCCTCCCTCCTCCCGCCCCCCCCCTCCCTCTTCCCTCCACCTCCCTCCTCCCTCCCCCTCCCTCCTCCCTCCCGCCCCCCTCCCTCCTCCCTCCCTCCTCCCGCCCCCTCCCTCCCGCTCCCTCCCGCCCTCTCCCTCCCCCTCCCTCCCGCCCCCTCCCTCCCCCTCACTCCCGCCCCCTCCCTCCCACTCCCTCCCGCCCCCTCCTCCCTCCCTCCCTCCTCCCTCCCTCCCTCCTCCCTCCCTCCCTCCTCCCTCCCGCCTCCTCCCACCCCCTCCCTCCCTCTCTCCCCCTCCCTCCTCCCTCCCGAAAGGTGTCACGATGGAACTGATCCTGATGGCGGTACCCCGGGGTGACCAAATAATACAAAATGGGCCGAGGCAATTAAAAATGTTATTTCTGGGACACTATTTTCTGTTCCAGGGGTGTTACTTCACTCCGCGACTGGGGTAACCGATCAATCCGACATCGGTGCCACACTCCGCGATGTAGAAACGCCAAACATCAGCATTTAAAACAAAATCCGTTTTCGAAAAATTCATCTCTGAATAGTGCATCGTGAGTACAGCTCGTCGAGATGAGTCGATCGCCGCATCGCCGACCATCACGGGGACATTATGCGAGAGCCGGGGTTCTATGGTACCCCGGGGATACTGCCATAAGGTTCCACTATTACGCACTTCAGCAAGACACTATATGGATTAAATATCCACGATGTATTTCTTTCATGGTGAAAATATATTCTTAAAGATAAGAATATATTATTAGGTGCACTGGCCGAAGTGGTGACGTCACGCGCGGGACACACATACATGATTGGCTCTTGTAGGAGTAAACTCGCTTCTGTGCCCATCCTAGGACGGAAGCTGTAATATTTACGAAAGAATTGAGCAGAGTATATAATGTTTCTTGTGTAAATTCAGTGGCAGGGAATATTGCACGAAACTACGTCATAAAACACTTCACTGCATGTCACTGTAGCGCAGTAGATAAGTGGCCATCAATTTGTTGAAAGTCACTGCTCTGATCCTTTATTCTCTTACGCTTTTGGTCACTGGTGTTGAAATAAATTGTAGATCGATACACTATCTGGAAAACCACCGAGAAATGTCTATTTTTGCCATAATGTAGAAGCATAAATTAGACTTACCTTTTGTCTCAAGTGCTGAAGAAATGAATAAAGACACCAAATCCACTTTGTCGCTGCGTAGAATTATTTATTAGATTCACTTTCAATAAAGAAACGTCAAACTTAAAGCGAATTTGCGGAAAAAAATATTTCCGCTCGACCTTCTGCGTGAGTGTAAAAATCCATCCGCTCATGAATATTAATGAGGGGGGGGGGGTGCGGCATGTGGAGTGACGTCACGCGCGGGACACACAGACATTCTTGGCTCATTATAGCCGACGTGTTAAACTTGCTTCGTATTAGACTGAAGAGAATGCCGTGTCCAATAAATGTAGACAGACAGCTGCCATTCACCGCGGCAACTTGTGCCAGGCTTGGTGCACCTTGAGGCCACGTGAAGTGTCGAAGCCTCGCGGCTGGCAGGTCACGGGACAGGCCCAGGTGCCGTGGGTTGATTGACCGAGATGACTTGGCAGTCAGTCTCACATAAAGACAAAGATCCCCCGTATGGCCTGTGACTGTCGGGGCAAGTGCTGTGAGCGAGCACCTATGAAGGCCGGCACGGCACACGAGGGGGTGGGTGGACAGCACCACGCCCGGCCGCATTTGTCTCCCTAGTGGCGGTGTTTATACACCGCCCCAGGTACTCATTTGAGGCTGAGTCGACCTAGGGGAGGCCCGGTTCAGATAATCGTCACTGGTGTTGTTCGTGAGCGGGAATCTAACCCGGGTCGCCAGCTTCATAGCGCAGTGCGCTAACCGCTACACCACCGCTCCCCACACACACACACGTACACACACGTACACACACGCGTACACACACGCGCGCACCTTTGCACCACACTGTGACCCCCCCCCTGACGCTGGAATTCGTGTTGTTTATTAATCGCAGCAACCCACCGCTTCGATCGCGTGCGCAATGCGGCGACCTCTGGCAGCCCGAGCGGAGTTTAAACCGGTCGACTCCGCCCTCCGTGGCCGTTCCGGCTCCCTTCCCGTGCTTGTGCCCACAAACAACAGCAGCAGCAGCAGCAAGCAGCCGGCTCGCACCGGCCCGGGCCTGGGGGGCCACCGTGGCCGGCATCTCCCTTGCCTACCACCTTGGTAGTGGCGGGCGAGAAGGGAATCCAGGGGACCCGTTCCGATATCGAATTCCCGAGTTCGTGGGGGGCTCAAAAGCGCGCTGCGCTAACCGCAGTGGCACACCGCTCCGCGCTCTCTGAACAGGAGGGGTCGCTCGTCAACCTCGGGCTGCGTCTTCATATCGCACCGGGTCAATCCGTCTCGTCACACAGTGGTCGCGTTGACCTCTGGCGGGGCGAGACAAAGATCCTCCTCCCCCCCCACCTCGTGCAGCCTGAAACAGACTGTTGGGGCAAGAGCTGTTAGCGAGTACTTAGGAAGGGAGGCGCGGCACACGAGAGTGGTTGGGTGGCCAGCACCACGCCCGACCGCCTTCGTCTCCCCGGTGATGTTTATTAACACACCGCACCATGGACTCATTTGAGGCCGAGTCGACCTAGGGGAGGCTAAGGCGGGGCAGTCACCGTCGCGGCCATTCAACTCGTTACATGAACGCCGCCTCCGCCTTGTTGGTGGATAATCGCGGGGCTCTGCGGTGGATCCCCTCCCGCGTGCTCACGGCTCCCACCGCGCGTTGGTCAGCGTGACGTCCGACGTTTCGCTCTGCGTACCGGTAGCTCTTTCAGAAGAGCTGAATTCCCGTAAGAAATCTGTAAATGTCCCGACGAAGCTCCCGGCGCTAAACGTCGGACACCACCACCACCACCACCACGCTGACCAACACGCGAATGTTTCCAGATCTAGAAATTCCGTCACCAATCGTGACCTCTGGGAGAGAGAGAGCGGCACGGGGTGAGGAAGCATCTTGAGCGTTTATTCCACATGCACACCCGGAGCCGTTGTTAGTGCAATATCACCCACCCAAACAGGAAATACGATTCTCTTAAGAGTTCTCTATTCATTCATTAATTCATTTATTTTTCAAACTTTTTTTTAAATTTTCTTCCTTTAAACTTCTGTTTATAACCCACGGTACTGTTTACAAAATAGTTCTTTTCAACCATTTAACTTTACAAAAAGGAGAGAGGTCGCCGCCGCCGCCACTCGCACAGCTGTGAGACAAATATTTCCAAACGCAGTATTTACACGCGCGACGGCCAGCAGACTGATCCACGGGGAGGTTTGGGGGGGGGGGTCAAGAGTTCAAAAACCCAAACACGAGCGGGGAGGTGGGGGAATCCAACCCAGGTGTGTCACTCGCACCTGTGGTGGCATCACTGACACTTTTGTTGGGATAATGAACTTGTTACGGGGGTTTCATTGCGGGTACCCATAACACAATGTCTCGCGTGTGTATACAATACACACACGCGCGTAGTTATATACCTATGCGTTCGCACGTGTCTACTAAGACAGTCCCTACCGACTCGAGAGCGCTGTTAGCGAGCACCTATTTAGGTTGGCACGGCACTCAATGGAGTGGTGTGTGGCTAGCTCCACACCCGACCGACTTTGTCTCCCCAGCGCGGATGATTTACGCAGGGCACCAGGTATCATGTCAGACTGAGTCAACCTAGGGATGGCACAGGACCGCTTGTGTAACCCGGGTTTGTGCATTTAGGGGCGAAGCGCGCTAACCACGTGCGCGAACGTGCCGCTCCCCGCACGTTCACGCACGTGCATGGACGCCGAGAGTGATCTCGGGAGAGGTCGTGAGTGAGGCGACGGGCACGGTTGCGCACCGCGCGGCCAGCCCCGTGGCTACAGCAGCAGGCGTCTGGGCGAGGAGCATGCTGGGGACTCGCAGGCAGATGCCGCGGCCGTCACGGTGGGTGTCGTGGCCGACGGATTTCTCCCAAAGAGATGTGGGCCAAGAGGAGCACAAGCCGATTGAGCCCGCGCACCTTTGGCGAACACCGCCGGCTCGCGGTCAACGCACACGGGTCAACGCACACGGGTCAACGCGCGCGCGGAGCGGATAATCTCGCGGTCAACATGTGCGTTTCAGTCGCCCCGCACGCACGCGGTCACCCGCTGCGCCCCAGTGTCTCCGTCTAACCCGCTAGTCCGTGGCATCGCACCCGTGGCCCCGCGCGTCTCTCATCGCCCCAACGGCCAGCAGCGGTCGGGCGCGACCCGCCCGCCCGCCCACCCCCCCCCACCGCGAGCTCTAGTGTTAAACATCTCCCCCAGCTGCACCTTAAACTAGTGTCTTACAACAGCGCCCCGCCTGATCTGCGTCACCATGGCAGCAGTGCCCCCCAAACCCCCGCCCCCCGGTTCACATCGCCACCGCTAGCCAGGTACTTCCTTGATTTAGCGGACTCCCAAGGCCCTGCGCGCTTGGTCGCGGCTCGGCTCTGGCTCGACGGAGCCGGCGCCGAGCCGTGCGAGTCACTTGAGCCGGCTCCGAGTCACCGTCCCCGCCACGCTCCAGGGTTTCCGCGAGCCCGAGCCGCGACGAAGACTTGCGGCCGTAATTGTGGAAACACTTTACCCCCCACCCCCCCCCCCCCCCCCCCCCCCCCCCATCTGCTGGCCACCTCGCAGCACTTGGGGGTTAAGACGGCTTTACAAATCTCTACGTGATCCACCAACCCTCGACCGCAGGCACCCCCAGCCACCGCACCCGGCCGTTTTTGTGGCCTCCCCCCATCCGCAGCGAGAAGCCTGGCGAGCCGATCGCCATCCGGGGCGTAACCCCTCCATCGCCGTTCGCCCCGCTCGGCGTCTCCACACACTCCCCCCCTCCGCCCCCCCCCCCCCCACCAAGGCTCTGTGGAATCCCATAAACGACCAAGGGACCTTCTGAAAGAGTGCGGTTTTGACACCTGCCGACTGTCTCTCCGCCACCGCGACGCGCCTCTCGCGTCCACCGCCGCGCCTCACCTAGGGCCGTGCGCGGCACAACGCCGCCTGCACAGCAGCTGCCCGGCGCGCTCTTGAAGCTCACGGCCGTTTTCACGCGGCCTCGTGCCGCCCCCTCCGTATAATTCTTTTCTTAAAATGTACAAATATTTATAATCCCGCGTGTTCTGCAATTGTCAAGAATTGGAAGCGACCCCCCCCCGCCCCCATCCCAGCCCGTGGAATATTTACAAACGGCACCATTCACAAAAACTCCCGAGCGCAAAGCGCCAACAGCAGTGGGCGAGAGCAGACGGCAGCCGTGTGCGTCGCCCGAACCCCGCTCGCCCGCATTCCCCCCGCCCATGCGTTCCTCCCCGCAGCGTCGCCACCGTCGCCGCTAATAGCGCCGCCACCAGTGGATGCCGGCGTTGACAACAACCGCACGAGTACCGTCTCCGTACGAGGTCCCGACGGTGGGATTAGCCGGGGGTTCGGCCGAGCTAGAAACCAACAACGGCCAGGGTCGACTTGGTGGAACGCCAGCCCTGGTGGAACTCCAAACCCGATGGAACGCTACCCTCAAGCGGAACGTCAATCCCACGCGGAGCCGGACGCCGGCGCCGGCACCCACAGCCGGCGGCAGACCTCAACACGGACGGCGCGGGGCCGGGGGCGGTGGGCGCAGGGCGAACGCGGCCTGAGAACGACGCGGGCCGCCGGGGATGTTCGGTCGGCGGAGGCGGCGTGCGGGTTTGGTGCAGCGCCGGGTCCTGGACGCCGGAAACGGGGGACCGGTCGCCACGGCGAAGGGTGGGCGCCGCCACGCACGCGTCCCCCCCGCCCGACGGCCGCGTGACGGGAGCGGGGTCCGCGGGAGGAGCGGCCGCCCGTCTGCGCTGCCTCTGTAGTGTTTTGCCTTTCATCAGGATGTGCAAAAACAAAGTTGGGTAAGAACGTCCCTCCCGCCTAAGCAACGCTGAACGCCGCTCTCCGCAGCCAAACGCGACTTGTCACGACGTTATTTACAGCATCGATTCTTTGCTAACCGGCGGACCGGGGCCGTGCGTGACGGCGCAGAGGCCGTGCGTGCGTGCGCGTCTGTCCGTGTCCCGTGTACAGGCAGCCTCACGTCGTGGTGTACGCCAGCTGTGGCTGTAGCTGCGAGTGTCGTCCGTGTGGGCCTCTGTATGCGCTATGCGCATGCAGTTGCACGTACCTGTGTAGTGTGTGCCAGGGTGTATGCGTTGCTGTAGTCTGGCCGGAAAGGTGCACCCAGCCTGGCAAAAGCGCTGTGGTGACGTCACTGCTAATTAGTAGTAGTTGTTGTTGTTGTTGTCTGTGTGCCAGTCATAGGTGTCTGGTGAGTGCCTTGTGAATGGAGTCAGGTGAGTGACGGGAGTGCCGAGTGACTGGTGAGTATCTGGTGAGCAGGTGTGGTATCTGGTATGCGTGGCATTTCCAAACGCTAACCCTAAGAACCAATCGGAGCGCTGCTGCCACGTGTCGACCAGTGCAGGGAACACGAGTACTGTATTCTCCTTAAAACCATTACCGCGTACAGAAGAACCCCAGGTTGGGGGGTGAGTCTTACTTTACGGAGTCTCTTATAACCCAGAGAATATGGTACTTACAGATATAGAAGACAAGGGGTACCCCAATGCATTTACAATAACAAGGTGCAAATATATCATAGCCACCAGATTATAGGGACGAACTCCCCCCCCTACCACTGTATATTAAAACAAAAGTTGGGGGTGCGTAGTATAATCCAGAAGGTGCGAGCATTTGTGTGCGCGTGTGTCAACGTGTTACAGTGTATGGAGGGGACTCGTGAAGGATGCTGCTGGGCAGTTGGGAGGCAGTTGCCCTCCAACAAGAACGATGGCCAGAGGGGCGACGCTCACAACAACGAGCGGAGAGCCGGACGGCTAAAATGCAGCAAAAGTTGGCACAATAGGGAGCACTGGTGGTGCATCTGCCAGTCGCCTCAGTCAACCCGTGGCATCTGGGTCTGTCCCGTGACCTCTCGCCAACGAGGCTTCGACACTTCACGGAGCCTCAAGAGTGCATCTGGCCTGGCACAAATTCCGTGGGTGACATCGCCGCCACTTAGTGGCGAATGGCAGCTGTTGTTGTTGTTGTTGTTGTGTCAGCGTGTGTGTTAGTATGTGTGTGTGTGTAACTTCATAGACCCCGGGACCCATTTTGGGGTGCGCTTTACTCTCCCAACCAGGGGGATTGAAGAAGGGACTCCTCCCCCCGCGGGTTTCTTGCGCAGCTCCCCGGCCGGACGGCTGCCCCCACGGATCCCGAGGGAACTGCCTGCAAAGAGCGTCAAGACTCCACGGGGGGCCGGCATCAACGTAGAAAAATCACGCTGCTGCCCCTGACGTCACCCGGAGGTCGACGGAGCGTTTGCCTCTTGCGCCAGAGGCTTAATTTCAGCCGGGTTGGTGGCCCGGTAAACTATTTCCGCGCGCGGCTTATATACCTCTTGTCGCGGCCCTGGCTGATGCGGCGGCTACGAACCACGCGCCACCGGGCTCCCGTCTACCGGCGACCCGGAAAATAATCTGCATAAGACGTGGTCCTGGCGGAGATGGCCCACGGTCGCGGCCCGCGGGCAGACTTTGGGGGCTGAGGTGGCCGGCGGAGAACACCGCCGGGGCGGGGTGGACGTGCCGGGGATAGGGGGGGCGGGAGAGTTGGGGGGGGGGGGGGGGGCGGCGGTCGTCGATGCCGCCGGGGGGCGCGGTTACTCCGGGCGGTAGAGCATGGTGAGTGTCACGGCGACCACCAGGCACATGACCGGAACAATCCTCGCCCAGGAGGTCTGCTGCTGACGAGAGGGGGCAACAGGTCACGCGCGTACTCAGCGCCCACTCTTTGTCATCATCGCTCAAGGTGGCAACTCAGGTCCTCGGTTTGGAGTGCAACGCGTTGACCACACACAGCTGTCAACCCCTTATCAGTGCTGCCTACCTTATTACAGACCGATTAAGACCTAGTTGGTCACCCGTTGCCCTTATAAATCTCAACATTCATCAAGCCCCAGGGAGAAACACAAACAAATAAACAAAACATTGTTTTGTACTCAATTTCCCTGTACAAGAATAAGGGTAAACTCTTATGGGTTGACAGATATGTGACCACAACACTCCTGCACCCTAAACACATGTACAAAGACAAAGATTCCCCACGTAGCCTTAACAGACTTTTGGGGCAAGTGATGTTAGCATGCACCTACGAAGGCCTGCGGAGCACACGAGAGTGTGGGTGGAAGGCAACACGCCCGGCTGCCTTTGTCTCCCCAGTGGCGATGTTTACACACCACACGAGGTACTCATTTGAGGCTGAGTCAACCTAGGGGAGGCCGAGGACCGGTTCAGATAATCGTCACCGGGTGTTGGCCGTGAGCGAGAATCGACCTCAGGTCACCGGGTTCGTAGCGGAGCGCGCTAACCGCTGCGCCACCGCCCCCCCGCAATGCAGAATCAACTGCAATGTTGACAGATGCAGCCGCCGTGCCTCACCTGTTGGGCTCGCTTGCGGGATTCATCCAGGGAGCTCTGGAAGTGCGAGATCTGGCTGCTGAGCTCTTCCTTCTGCTGCTGAGCCGCTGCGAACTTCCGCTGCCAGCATTCGGCCTCCTCCCGTACCTCCTCCACCTGTGACACCGAGCGGTCGTGGGTGGGTGGGTGGGCGGGCGACGGAGCAGGTGAGCGAGCGAGCGGGTGGGTGACAAGGTGGGCGAGTGAGAGAGAGATTGGGTGAGCGAGCGTGTGAGCGGGGAGTGGGCGAGCGGAGTGGGTGGTCGTGTGCTTGGCTACTTCTGGTGCTGTTGCTGAACGCACGTGCTCAGGCGAGTGTGCGTGCGCGTACAGGTGCGCGCGTGCATTTGCGTGCGTGCGTACTTGGTCGAGCAGTGCTTGTGTGCGATCCTTGGCCTGGCCCAGCTCGACCTCGAGTTCGCTCTGCACCCGCTGCTGCTGCGCTGCCAGCTGAACCTCCACGCTGCGCTCACGGACGTCAACGGAGAACCGCGAACAACCACCGCACACTGGTCAGCAACCGTGGGCCCTCGGCAGCGAACTCGACAGAACGGGCGACACGTCTCTGGCAGTGGCCCTGCCTCGCGGCACTAAGGCACGCGGGGTATTCGCGCCGTAGTATTCTACGGTTGATGCGCACTGCGGTATTAACCGGGGGGCCCGAGGGGGATATGGAGGAGGGCGAGGACGAGGGTGACGAGGAGGGGGCAAGGGGGGCAAGTGGGGGGAGGGCGAGGGGGAGGTGGGGCATTGACGTGGGGGAGGAGGGTGGCGCCGGCTACCTGCGCAGCGCCTCCTCCCGTTCGGCGAGAGACGCGCGGAGCTGGCGGCCGGACTCGAGCGAGGCCGCCCGGTGCTCCTCCTGGGCCCCGGCCAGATCGGCTGCACACAGACGCGGCACAGACACGGCACACGAGGCTTAGAGCGGCGCCCACCCAACCGGTCGCGCCCTCACAGCGAGGCATCGGTGACGCCGGTGCCACCGAGCCGCCCGTGCCACCCGGCGACACGGGGCGTTGCGATGGGGACGTTGAGACAGGTGGCGTTATGTGGCGGTGCTGTGGTGGTGGCGATGCGGTGGTGGTGCTGTGGCGGTGGTGGCGATGCGGTGGTGGTGTTGTGGCGGTGTGGCGGTGGTGGTGATGTGGCGGTGGCGGTGCTGCGGAGGTGATGGTGCTGCCAAGCGCTCGCACCCCTGAGCTGCGCCATCTCCTGCTGGTGCTGCTGCTGCAGGGCGAGCGTGCGCGCCTCCACCTGCTGGCGCAGCGCCGCGGTCTCGTTCCGGTGTCGCACGACCTCGGCCTGCAGCCTCTCCAGCTCCTCCCGTGCTCGCCTCAGATCCATCTGTTCAATATCAAACGCAAAGAGACCCACAGATTCGCACAGAGACCCATCGACTCACTTCGACTATCGCCGATTGCCTCGACAACGGATCACGCTGCGCGATGCTGATCGCGCGATCGGAATCAACGTGGAGGAGAACTAAACCGAAGACGGACGCAACGAGATGGAGCCACGCCGACAGCCCTTCCACGGATACGTGGCTGCGGTGGTGATGGAGGTGGTGGTGGAACTCGTGATGGCGGTGGCAATGATGGTGGTGCTGTGGCGATACTCATGGAGTTTGTAGTGGTAATGGTGGCCCTGATGGTGATTGCGGTAGTGTCGGTGGTCCTCATGGCGGTGGCAATAGTGCCGGCGCTCACACCTGCAGGGTACGCGTACCTGCAGGGTACGCGTACCTGCAGGGTGAGTGTACCTGCAGGGTGAATGTACCTGCAGGGTGAGTGTACCTGCAGGGTGAGTGTACCTGCAGGGTGAGTGTACCTGCAGGGTGAGTGTACCTGCAGGGTGAGTGTACCTGCAGGGTGAGTGTACCTGCAGGGTGAGTGTACCTGCAGGGTGAGTGTACCTGCAGGGTGAGTGTACCTGCAGGGCGGCCGTCTGGTCGTGCTGCCCGGCCTGTGCGGCCTCGACGCGGCGCTGCAGGTCGGCGTTGTCGTTGTGCGCACGTGCGAGCCGCGACTGCGCCTCCTCCCGCTCGCTCTTCTGCTGCGTATGCAACCCCGACAGCTCCTCCTGCGCCTGCACCAGGAGCTCTGCATCACCGCACAAAGACAAAAATCCCCCCGTACAGCCTAAACAGACTGTTGGGGCAAGTGCTGTTAACGAGCATCTGTGAAGGCCGGCACGGCGCACGAGGGGGTGGGTGGCCAGCACCACGCCTGGCCACCTTTGGCTCCCCAGTGCTCACGTTTACACACTGCACCAGGTACTCATTTAAGGCTGAGTTGGCCTCGGGAGAGGCCCAGGACCAGTTCCGATATTTGTTACCGATGTTGGCCGTGAGTGGGAATCGAACTCGAGTCGCCTGGTTCACAGCGCAGTGCAGCGCTAACCACTACGCCACACACACGGACACACCAAGAAACATGCAGACACAAAGAAGAAACAGACACAGAGATATACAGTAAAACCTTGGATTGCGAGCATAATTCGTTCCGGAAACGTGTTTGTAATCCAAAGCACTCGTATATCAAAGCACTCGTATATCAGTTGTGATCACGTGACGCTCGGCAGACAAAGTGTATACGTACTACTCGTATTGCAAGACCTCGCTCGTTTATCAAATTAATATTTATTTACATTTTTTGCTCGTCTTGCAAAACACTCGCAGACCAAGTTACTCGCAATCCAAGGTTTTAATGTACATGCACACACACGCGCGCAAACACAACAACATTCGCCATTAAGTGGCGGCGCTGTTGCCACGGTGCTTGTGCCAGGATAGGTGAACTTTGAGGCCACGTGAAGTGTCGAAGGCTCGCTGGCAGGTTACGGTCCAGACCCAAATGCAATGGGTTGACTGAGATGATTGGTAGATGCACCAACTGTGATCCCCACTGTGCCTACTTAGCACAAACACACGCACGCACCTCCGATGAGCGTGGTTGGCTACGTACGGTGCGACAGAACTTCAACGTACATATACACACAAACACACATGCGCAAAATAGACACAAATAGACGAAACGGCAGCACTCGCTGAATTCCTTGCGCCTGTGCGCTGGCCTGGTCATTGTAAAAGGTCATGACCCCCCCCCCCCCCCCCCACTGTAGCAGAGGTGAAGTCACGCAAGTCACACAGGCAGCTGGAACTCACCCTGCAACCTTTGAATCTGCTTGAGGTACCCCTCCATCTTGGCCTTGCTCTCAAGCTGGTCCTTCTCCACGGTGGCTGTGGAACGACGAAGAAGGAGCACGTTTGTCACCATTTGTCACCACCGTCACCACCACCGCCACCAGCTTTTTTAACCGCGACGCCGCCGCTCCGTCTCCGCCGAGACGGCACAGCGGTAGAGCGAGCAGCGCGCAGTTGGCGGTCGACTCGGCCCATCGCCCCTACGGGGTAGATCGAATCAGCAACCAACTGTGTGGGGAAGTCAACAGTGGTTGTCCTAGGGATAGACTCGCCCCCCCCCCCCCTCCCCGTCGTAGTAATGAGGAATTTCCATCGCTGGCCCGTGGCTGCAAACGTAGGACGAGAAACGCCTTCGGTGCTCGTTTGAGCAGCAGGAGATCGCTCCGAGTTCCTCCGCGGGGGAACGTCCCTTCGGCTGCCACCGCGGCCCTGGCGGACAACCTCGCGCGTTCCTCTCCTTCCCCAGGCGGACGCCTGCCCCACGCGCGCCACCTCCGCGTTGTCAGCGAGCGCCCGTGAGGAGCGGCGGAGGAGGGGCGTGCGCCGGTGCACGTTACGCATGCTGAACCCATTTCGCACCGTACGCAAATCGGACAAAAAAAGCTGTTTGAAAGAAACGGGTTTTCAATCTAAACGACTTAAAAGTTGCCATTGCTCCCAGTGGCGTCCTAATATCGGGAGGAAGAGCGTTCCAGACGGCCGCAGAAGCGCATCTCAAAGCGCTCGACGCGGTGGCCGTCTCTTTGTTCGACGGCCACGCAGCCAAAAATCCACAGCCGCTGCGAGGTGCGATCGGTACCCAGCGTCTGCCGCATCTGCTCCTTGCCGGACTGCGCCGCGTCGCGCGCCCGGCTCAGCTCCTCCTGAAGCCGCTCCATCTCCCCGTGGGCGGTGCCCGGCTCCCCTGCGGCAACAAGACGTTGCACTCGGTCAGCGCGCCGTCACTTTCCTCCCGTCCCTTCAGATTGTCCGAGAGGGAGGCCCGGTCCCCCTTCTACGGGCGAGGTGAAACTTCCCTGCTGCAGACCAAGCCCCTTTCCCCTCCACCCCCCCCCCCCCCCCCCCCTGATAGGAATCGGAGGTGCGGGGAATAAGTCGGAGGTGCGGGAAAAGGAATCGGAAATGCGGGGAAAGAAGTCAAAGGTGTGGGGGAAGGAATCGGAGATGCGGGAGAAGGAATCTGAGTTGCAGGGTAAGGAATCGGGATGGGCATGCAGGCCGCTCCGCCAGCCTTGCCCACATCCCAGAGAATCAATGAACACGTGCTTTAAATTGTAATGCGCATATAAGAGATAAAACAATAACGATGCTCATAGCCCTTTGTGCTGTGCGCACGGCATCCGTCGGAGCTGCATGTACGCGGTGGCAGGACTCGGAGATACTCAAGCGCTGTCTTCCGGACAGTCCTGTTTCTTTACCTGAGGAAGGCTACTTGTGTTGTGGCCGAAACGTCGTGAGAATTTTATTTTGTTATTATTATTTTTATTATTTTATCTCCATTCTACGCGACTTTACCGAAGGAACCCAGAAGCTGGCCAACTCCATTAACGACGGATTATAAACGAGGGAGGAAACCGGAGTGCCCGGAGAACACCCACGCGTGTAAGGGGGGGAAGGCAGCTAACGCTCAATCCCTGTACAGATGGAAATTAACCCACTGGCTGCACTGCCATGGTGCCCTGGCAAGCCAGGAGATGGCAGCAATAGCCACGTGTAGGGAAGGGAGCTTTCCGAGCGCCAGAGCAATCCACCAACCCTCGCTGCTGCCGCCGCCGCCGCTGCTGCTGCTGCCTCCAGCGCTGGGTCACGGTCCACGTGCAGCACCGCGACTAGCGGCCCCGCTCAACCGGGGACCGCATCGTACAAAAACCGTACCGCGCGAAGCAATAACCGCGTGGCAACAATGTGGCAACCGCGTCATGCCGCGTGGTGACCGTGTGGTCCCGCGTGGTAAGCCGCGCGGTGCCGCGTGGTCTGCCGGGAACGTTACCGGCTATTGGCGCGAGTCTGTCCCGAGGGTCCGTGTCTTCACGTGAGGAACCTGGTGCAGCAGCAGCAGCAGCAGCAGCGGGGTTGGAGACAGAGAGGGAGTCGGTTCTTTCCCTCCCATCACGCTGTCAAGTGGGGCATGTTGCCCGAAACGTCGCCGATTGTACACGTTTCCTGAAGGCCACAGAGCCTTAAGGAAACGTCTACAGGGAGCTCCACAGATGCCGTGCGCAGAGCACAAAGGGCTATGAGCATCGTTATTGTTTAATCTCTTACATGCGCATACAATTAAAAACACGTGTTCATTGATTCTCTGGGACGTGAGCAAGGCTGGCGGAGCGGCCTGCGTGCCCATCCCGGTGGGGGGACGGCGCCGAGAGTTGCACGAGGACACCCCCCCCCCGCCCCACCGAATACCGGCAGCAGTGGGAGCGGGGCGGGAGGGGGCGGGAGGGGGCGGGAGGGGGCGGGAGGGGGCGGGGGAAGGAGCGGGGTCTGGGCCGGCGCTCGGGACGGCGCAGGCGCAACTCACTTGAGCAGCTGGACACGGCGTCCTCGCAGGCGGCGGTCTCGCGCTCCTCCAGTCGCCCTGCCGAGCGGCAACGGCGGCGTTCAACACCGCTCGTACGGATGGAAAGATCCTCCCCCCGGCATAGGCCGCGCACGCCGGCGGTGCCGTTAACGCGAGCGGCGCCTCCGAAGGCTGCCACGGCGCGGGGCGGTCCGGCCGACGCCACGCCCGGCCACCTTTGTCTCCCCAGTGCTGGTGTTTGCACACCGCCAGAGCCGCAGAGGCAAATCCTTTTGAGCTCTGGGTTTTTGGTCGGATCTCTCGAGGGAGAGTCCCCAAGAGCGACACAGCTCGCAAGCTGGGCTCACGCTGGGTCATTTATATGTTGCGTTAATCGTGACCCCCGCGCTGCAGGCTGATAAAGAGAGACAGACGGACTTGACAGATGACGGATAGATGGATAGACAGATGGATGGACAGACAGACGGATGACAGATAGATGAATAGACAGACAGATGGACACAGACGGATGGATATAGAGGGACAGTTGGATAACAGATAGATGGATAGACCGACAGACGGTTGGATAGACGCAGTTGGACGGACACAGACAGACAGACAGATGGACAGACAGATGGACACAGATAGATGGATAGACTGACAGACGGTTGGATAGACACAAACGGATGGACACAGAGAGACAGTTGGCTGACTGATAGATGGATAGACACAGACGGATGAAGCGACAGACGGAGCTAAGCAGGAAACGCCGTCACATTCGTTGTGAGACGCGACCAAGGCCTCACCTTTGAGGCTCTGGATCTCGGCGTTGGCTTGGCACAGCTGCTGTCTCGTGTGGCTGAGCTCCTCTGCGGTTAAGAAAACACAAAGCAATCAACGCCACGGGGAACACATTGGACACGGGGTCGGCGGAGCACACAAAGATCATCTATCGCACTGCGACTGTTTCGACGAGGCGGTGCCTTGCTAACGAGGCGGGACAGCAAAGGGGAGGTTGGCCTCTTCGCGTGTGCGTGCTCATTCTAAATGTGGAGGGAAAAACCGGAGGACCCAGAGAAAAAATCCACGCGACCACGGGGAGAACAGGCAACCTACAAATATACAGCAGGAGTCAGGGTCGGGATTGAACCAACGACCTCCTGTACACCAGGCGAGGGAGTTAACATTGCCTAGCCACCGTAATGATGATGAGAGACGCAACCTCCAAATATACAGCAGGCGTCAGGGTCGGGATCGAACCCACGACCTCCTGTATACCAGGTGTGGGAGTTAACATCTCGCCACCCTACGTCACTCCACTGCTGGATGAGAGCCTCCCCACGCCGTGCCAGCCACGGGGGTTGTTTGACCACACATCGCCACACCGGTCAGTGCGGGCTGGCGGACGAGGCTCACCTCTCAGAGTCTCCACGGCTCCCGATTGGTCATTGGAGTGTGGCTCAGCTCCTAGGGGGCCCGGCTCTGAGCAGACTCCTGTGACGCAGCCACACACAGGCTCATCAGGGTGGGGTGGGGGGGGGGGGGCAGGGTGCTACCAGGCAATGTGCCATTGACAGAGCTAGCTCACCTGAGCTAAGGGCTGTGCTACCGGTGGGCCTGACTCACCTGGACTACCAGTGGGCCTGGCTCACCTGGGGCCAAGCCAATTCCCCGAGTGGCCTCCCAGAGATAACCAGTCCTCAGGAGTTAACGATGTTGCTTCATTTGGGTTTGTTCACGGCAGTCTGTTTTTGGAGTGGGTTTTATTTCCAAACATCGTTGCAGATTACTGGAGTGACATTCGTTTAATCGTATTTTATTATCAACCGTGATCTATCCACTGCTGGATGAAGGCCTCCAACCCCCCCCCACAAGCTGTTGACATCTCTCACGGAATTGCAGTGCCAGCGGTCCACCTAGCACCTGCGCGAGAGCCGACCCCATCGCTCCACCTCCACGGTGGACGTCCCCATCGGGCGTGACCCACCCTGCCTCGGCCGTGTATCCCCAATCCCTTCCCTCACCTTCACCTCACCCCAGCCTTCCCCCTCGCCTTGTCCCCCGCTCCCCCAACACACGTAACGTTTCGGCCATTCACGCTCCCATTGGGCCCACAACTAATGCCGATTTGGTGGCAGCGGTGTCGTCGCGGCGCGACAGCGACGGCCAGCGGTAGCTCTCACCGTCCTGGGTGGACGGGACCAGCTTCCTCTGTGCGGCCTCCACCAGGGCCCTCAGCTTGGCTGGGCGGGCACAGGCGGTGGTGCACGCAGACGCACGCACCCAGACACACGCACGCAGACACACGCATGCAGACACACGCACCCAGACACACGCACCCAGACACACGCACGCAGACACACGCACCCAGACACACGCACGCAGACACACGCACCCAGACACACGCACCCAGACACACGCACACAAAGATAAAGATCCCCGCGTATCGCCTTGACAGACTGTTGGAACAAATGCTGTTAGCGAGCACCTATAAAGGCCGGCATGCGCACGCACACAGACATGCACACACACACACACGAGTGCGTGTGCACAGACACGCACGTACAAACAGAGAGACACACACGCATCCCCAGGCAGAACACGGACCGGTTTCAACTTCTCTCCGAGTTCCTTCAGACGCGGGGATTCCAGCGTCTCGACGCACGAGCCGTGGGTGGTAGTTGCGTAGCCAGCGCCGCGGCGCTCACGGTCGTCGTCCACTCACAGTCGTCGTCGTCATCGTCGTCCACTCACAGTCGTCGTCGTCATCGTCACCGTCGTCCACTCACAGTCGTCGTCGTCCACTCACAGTCGTCGTCACCGTCATCCACTCACAGTCGTCGTCGTCGTCATCACCGTCGTCCACTCACAGTTGTCGTCGTCCACTCACAGTCGTCGTCGTCGTCGTCCACTTACAGTCGTCGCCCACTCACAGTCGTCGTCACCGTCGTCCACTCACAGTTGTCGTCGTCCACTCACAGTCGTCGTCGTCGTCGTCCACTTACAGTCGTCGCCCACTCACAGTCGTCGTCACCGTCGTCCACTCACAGTCGTCGTCGTCGTCGTCACCGCCGTGTCACAGCGCTCTTACAGCCACTTCCTCGGCAAAGTTTTCCCCGACCGATTTCGCGAAACGAGGCTCACGCCGACCGTCGCCACTCGGCTGCGGAGTCGGCGCTCACCCGACGGGTAGCCCACGTGCAGCGGCTGCGGTCATTAAGGCTCGCTTCAAAAACTCAAACTCTTCAAAGTTACCTCTCTCACAGTGGGGGGGGCGAGGGGAGGGAGGATGGGAGGGGGGTAGGTCCACGTGGGGGCATGCGGGAGGAGTGGAGCGGGCGTGAGGTCACGGAGAGGCGCGGCGCGCGCACACGTACCTTGCAGGTCGTTCATCTCCGCCTCCATCGAAGGGTTCGAGTCGTTGGAGATTCCCAGAATCACTGCAACGGGCAAAGGGCGAACACGGCGTCACCCCGCGAGCCTCACACCGCCTGCCTCGCGCAACTCGCGTGCCCCGATGACGGGCGGCCAGCGACAAACGGTTCACAGTAACCGTGGCAGCAGCGACACGAGAGCGACAAGGAGGCGACTGACCGCCGGTGAGCGCGTGACCGGTGTGAATCGGTGAGTGCCGCACCGTTTATCGGACCGTACTGCTTTTCGCCAAATGCTGGGCATGGTGAAGGGCGCATTTAGGGGGGAGGCCGCTTTTAGGGGCATTGTTTGGGAGCCAAAGTCCAAGTGCCCCGCTGCTCAAACGGGCACTGGCACATTGGGTGCTCCGTTTACCGTTTGCAGCGCTGCGGATTGAGCGGCGGAAATTCCACATTACTATGGGGGGGGGGGGGGGGAACCAATTTGGCGCATTCGTGGCGATTAGGCGGTTAGACAATGGGGGGGTTGCGCTACGGAGAGTCGGGCCGGTGGAGCGCGAGGGTGTGAAGCCCGGATTGCGGTGACGGGTGCTTACTCCGATGCTGTACGATCTGCTGCACCAGCTCCGTGCAGGAGTCCACGCCGGGTGGTGCTACGTGCTCTACACACGCGCACACACAACACACACAACACACACACAAAGAAAAAGACCCCTCCCCTTTAGCCTTAACAGACTGTTGGGGCAAGTGCTGTTAGCGCACGCACACGCGGGCACACAGACGCGCACACGTGGGACAGCGGGGTGCGGGTGAGCCCCGGGTGCGGGTGAGCGCGGGGTGCCGCTCACCTTCATCGATGCTGCCGTTGATTTTGGAGGAGAGGTCGTCCACCCGGTCGTCTACGAGGCAAGAGGGGAGGGGGGGGGCAGACAATCGGCCTCCGCACCTCTGAAGTAGGTAGCTGCCTATGTGTCGTGGGAAGCATCAAGGGTTGATGTTGCAGCTGCCCGTGTGAAGTTTATTTGGCAGCTGCCTATTTGAAGTGGGAAGTGGCGAGGTTTAATTGCTGCTGCCCGACGTTGGCCCTTCATCACCAAATGTGCGGTGCATGGTGAGGGTGACGCGGGTGTCACGTCGCCCTGCACAGAGGACGGGCTGCCTCTAGCTGTTCGTAACACGCGTGTGCGTGTGTGTGACACGCGTGGCGGTGAGTGTCGCTACTCACCGAGCGAGGCGCTCTCCTCCTTCAGGCTGCTCTTCTCCTGGATCTGCTCCAGTCGTGCTGAAACCAACCAGAGCCGCGAGTCAAGGGCGATGCAGCCCCTAGAACCATATATCCATCGCCCTATATCCCTCGCCCTATATCCCTCGCCCTATATCCCTCGCCCTATATCCCTCGCCCTATATCCCTCGCCCTATATCCCTCGCCCTATATCCCGGACCCTATATCCCCTCGTTCTATATCCATCACAATATATCCCTCCAGCGCACCAGTCACCCGCGTCGCCAGGTGGCCATTCCAATACCCTACACCTATAACCCTAGCCAAACAAATCACTCTTCTTTGGTTCTTTCGGTAAAAGTCACGTAGATATAAATTTTCAAATAAAAAATAAAGTGAATTAAAAAAATTAAAAAATAAAAACCCACTAATAGACTATAATGTAAAGACTGCCAGTACACTCACCCAGCTTAATAACCATTGCTACAGTCCACATTATAGATTGCCAGTACACTCCGATTAAGAATCAGGCTACAGTCTACATTAGTGTTTTTTTTGTTTTTATTATTTTTATTTTCTTTATTGTCTATAAAAAAATGTTTCTACGTAACTTTACCGAAAGAACCAAAGAATATGAATTCCTGCAGTCACGAAAGTTTTAAGTCTAAATTTAACCAAAGCCTTCCCCCACTGTCTCTACCCCCACGCTTAGTTCACCGTGTGGCGTAGGCGGTGGCGTTACCCTTGACGGAGGCGAGCTGCTGGCGCGTGAAGTCGTTGTCGGCGGTGAGGGCCTCGACGCGGGCCTGCAGGGCGCTCTCCTTCTGCTCCAGCTCCTCCAGCTGGGCCTGCAGCTCGCGCCGTTCCTCGCCGCCCCGCGCCACCACCTCCTCCTGCCGCTCCTCCGACACCTGAGGTGGGATGGGGGGGGGGGCGGCGTCGTCGTCACGGCGATGGTCGCGGCGCGGAGAAACCGCTCGTCGCACGCAATGGATTGCACCTCCTCCTCTCCCCCGACCGCACCGGCCGGTGGTGGGAACCGCCGGTGATAGAGAGCGCCGCTCGGCACACTGTCGGCCGCCAACGTCCGGGATCGCGGCTCAACTCGCGAATTCACCCGCGCTTTACCGTCTCTCCCTCCCGGTCGCGGCGACGGCGCCAGCGGGAACGGGGGGCACCGTGCGCCGCGCCGCGAGAGGCCGCGGCGGCGCCGCCATTGCGCGCGTGCGCCGAGAAGCCGCGTACCCGGAGTTTTTCCGTGAGCTCCTTGACGCTCTCCTGGGCGTCCGTGTGGCACCGGGCGATGTCGAGCACCTCCTCCTGGGACTTCTCGAACATCTCCTTGAGGTGCGAGCACTCGTCCTCCGTGTTGCTCAGCGCCCTCTGCGCGCACAGGCGACCGCGGGGACAGAGAGGGGCGCACGCTCGGCGGGGCCTTGGGGGGGGCCTGGGGGGGAACCGCGATCGCTCCGATTCTCTCGCGGACTCCGACCGTCGCGCACGGCGACCGCTCTCGAAGCCTGACCCCCCACCTCGACGTCGGAGAGCTTGCGCACCACCTCCAGCTTCTCCTGCAGCACGCGGCGCAGCGACTCCTTCGCCGTCGTCTCGTAGCTCAGCTTGTCCTCCAGCAGCGACGTCAGCTCCTTGCGCAGGGACTCCTCCGTCTGGCTCTGCGGTCGTCGCGAGGGCGGCAAGAGGGGCGCAGGGGTCGGGGCGAGGGGGACGGCAACGCCAGCACGGGACTCGTGGGATCGAAGGTCGGCAAGCTCGCACGGGGTCACCCTTACTTTACCGTGCTACCCGAGTAACTCTCGCCATCATCGCCATCGCCAACCCTCGGGTCCCCGCCGCTCCCCGTCCCGAGATTCTCGCGGCAGTGCCACCGACACGCGTGGCGGCGAGTGCCGCTGCTCACCGAGTGCGGCGGCGAGCGACGCTACTCGCCAAACCGATTCCCGCTGTTGTCTGGCGGCGCTCGCCCCACCCTCTCACTTTCCCACCGCCGCCGCGCCGTCACCACGGAGTGGGGTGGATGGGGGGGGATGGCGAGCGAGTGCAGGAGGAAGCACCTTGGCGTGCGCTTGCAGCTGACTCTCCAGGACCTCCAACCTGGACAGCAGCCGATCCTCATCCATCAGCGCCTGCCGAGCGGTAACAGGGACGGCGCGCGGGGGTCATCGTCTCCGCAACCCCACACCCCACGGTCATCCCCACAGTGTCCACGTGTACACTCCTGTGGGCCCCAGCGTGCGTGCCCATGGGCCCGTGCCTGCGTGTTTCCGCGTGCTCGTGCGTTTGGGGACCCGCGTTCGTGCGCGTGCGTGTGCCTTCGACACTTCACGTGGCCTCGCAGGGCACCTCGGCTGGCACAAGTGCCGTAATAATAGCGAGTGGCGATTGTTGTTGTTGTGCGTGTGTGCACCTGTGCACGTGCGTGCTCCCGCGTTCCCGTATGTGCGGTCTTGTGTAATGGTGTGTGTGCGTAGATCTCTGCGGTCCAGTGCGCATCAATGCCCTGTGCGTGTTCCCGTGCGTGTTCCCGTGCATGTTCCCGTGCATGTTCCCGTGCATGTTCCCGTGCGTGTTCCCGTGCGTGTTCCCGTGCATGTTCCCGTGCATGTTCCCGTGCGTGTTCCCGTGTGTGTCCATGTGTGCCCACGTGCGTCCACATGTTTCCGTGCGTGTGTCAGCTGACCTGCCAGCTACTCTCGGATGCCTCCTGGGTGCTGGCCAGGATGCGCTGCAGCGTTGCCAGCTTCTGCTCCAGCATCTGCTCCCTGTGGAGGGCCTCCTGCACCAACACCACCATCACCACCACCAATCACCACCACCAAACACCACAACCACCAGCACCATCATCATCACCACCACTGCCAGAGTGCTGAAATGCCCAGCAGCACTCTAGCCCTCCAATCCAGAGGTCGCCGGGTCCATCTCCCGGCGTGGGAGATGAAGCGATGGGGCAAAGTTTATAAACAGCACCCCCCCACCCTCAGTCCGCAACCGCCTGTCCCATCCAGCTGTGTAAACGGCTTCACCAGAGTTATTTTATCAGCAGGTCGCCTGCGGAGTAGCCCAACGAATCTTCCGCGGGGCGTTCTAGAGCTCACTCGCGTGGAGGAGGCCCCATCCCACCCCCCCGCAGTGGCGTGAGCGAGCAGTCGCCGCGACCCTTACCATCGCGAGCGTTACAGCATCATCGCCATCTTCATCTTACATCCCCTTTGTAAAGTCCGCAGCTTGCTGAAGGCCACCGCAAGCCTTGCGGGTTGATCGACTGTGCCGGACCGATTCTGTCACCGCTCGCCACCGAGGTTACGCGCGGCTGGGAGTGGAACCCGGGTCGTCTGGTTTGCGGCGCGGCGTGCGAACCGCTGCACCACCGTTCCCTCGTGTTACAGCGCGTGCACACGCAGACGCACGGCGGTGGTGGCGGTCCCTTACCTTGAGGCACTGCGAAATCTGGTAGAGCTCCTGGGAGTAGGCATTGGCTTGCGACGCAGAGACCTGGAGAGGCACGGCAACGACACTGAAAATCGTTCGGAGTAGGCCAAACATCCTGATGTAGAACCAGAGAGCTTGGGCAAAGCGTTGGCAGCAGCGGATCTGGTTGCCTTCCCGCTTTGTCGACGATTTCCCTCGAGCCTCCGCGTCAAACGCCGCGCACCGTTAACAAAAATCGCACAGCGCGCCCTCGCGTGCGTCGTGCGCGACGCCACACGGGCCCACCTTGGGCGCCCCCCCTGTGTTGCTCAGTCTTGCCTCGGCTGTTGCTGGGCCCTAGTAACGAGGCAACCCCCCTGGGGCTGCGCTGCAGGGTTGCCCCCCCCCTCTACCCTCTCCATCTCTCCCACCGACGTTGCCCTGCCCTCCACCACCTCTTCCAAAAATCGATTGCACTGGAGTCGCGGGGCGGAGCGGCTTCTGTGGCGCCCTCGCTTCTGGTCGCGCTCCGGCCGCTTCGCGCCCAGGCTCCCTGCGCCGCTTGGCACGAACCCAAGGCCTCGGCGCGGCCGCCGCCGCCGCCGCCGCCGCCGCCGCCGCTCGCGACGTGGCAAGAGCTCCGCCGCCCGCGCCGCAGCGCAGCAGCCGGTCCAACGCAACCGCAACGCCACCGGCCTAGCCGGAAATGCCCCTCTCGAGTCTCAAAGACTCCGCTTTCAGGAGGGTGTTGCTGCTGTTGCTGCTGTTGCGTCGGCACAATTGATTAATTCCATTTAAAATGTCGTCTCGTTTACAGTGCGAGTAAACCGGACGGGCCGGAGATACCCCACCAAACACAGCAGGGGATAACACTCAAACCCCGCACAGATGGATTCACAAACCGACCTATTCGGCGCTGCCACCTTTAGCCCCATCCCACAGCCAGGCACGTGTGGGAGTTATCTCTACGCGATCACCACAGCCGGCCCGGCACGGGCGCGGTCACCACGGTGTCACCCGCGCTCGCCGCGGAGCATCAGGTGACGTGAGGGAGCCTGCGCGGGGGGGCCCAGCGGCCTCCACTTCCTGCCGGCGGTCGGCCGCAGAATCGCGAGCGTGGGCAAAAATTAAAAAACGCAACGCGCGCGGCCTTGGAAGCGCTCACCTTTTCCAGCGTCATCGCGGAGACCGGTACCCTGCACAGAGAGACACACGGGGGGGGGGGGGGGTGGGCGGGGGGGGGGGATCGGGACGGGGGGACACGCGGACAGAGAGACAACGCGGTGTCAAGTCCCGCCGCGACGCCGGCACGGCCGTGGCGTTTACAGTTTTCACCGAGCCTCCGCGCCCCCTTCCCTTGGGCGACGCGCGATCTTTCAACTGCGCGCGGGCCAAATCTCGATCTTCGGGTTTTCTCGGTTCCCGCGAGCGTGCCGCGTCAGCGCCGCGGAATGCGCGCCGCTTGTTTACGCGCGCGGCAAATTTTGCCGACGACGGGAGGTCAAGGTGCGCGGTGGGCGGGCGAGGCAGCCCGGTGCGGCGGCCAGGCCGGGCGGCTCCCTGTGGCACCCGCCGCCGCCGCGTTCAGGCTGGGCTGCGAAGCTGTGGAACTCGAGGTGAGCTCGAGGGCTACGCGGTGAGCAGGGGGGCGGACCGGAGGTAGCCCCAAACCAACAGAGCAGAACTCCGCAACTAATCTGTCGTTTACCACGACCCACGTAATAGGGTGATATACATTTCCACGTGTTAAGCCACTCCGTTGCACTATCCCTTGAAAAAGCTAATAGCTCAGTGGGCTTTACCCGATAAGATAAAAATAGCTTAGTTTAATTTGTATTTTTATGATTTGTTTACCTTTCGTATACTTTGCACACTCCTATCCTAGTTTTTTGTATTGTAAGTTCTGACCCGCCCCCTCCCCAACTGTACATCTGTCGTCATCGAATTCCTCCAAGATAAATACATCAATATTCTGCTCCTGATCTGGCAATTCACCAGCACCGTTTCAGGTGAGCCTTCTGCTGATGAGACAATGAATGTCAAAACCCATCTCAGTTTTGCTTCCGGTGAAGCCGGTGAAGATCCACTCCCAGAATGCCACGTGGTCGCCGATGGGAAGTACGCATTTGTTTAAACGTTTTGTGTGGAGAGACGACTCCGGGACGGGGGACGTTGTTTACGTCAGGGTTATTATTGGCGACTGGAGCCGGGGGGCGATCTGGGGCTCGGTGATGTCACGCGGGGGGCGTCTCTTGTAGGGGCGGGCGATGTTGTTAAAGGGCTCGGTTATTGCTTCTAGTCGAGGAATCGGCTTCACGGGCCAAGCAGCCGGTTTTATTCACGGCGTTGGGCGTGCGCGTGGAGCGGTGGCGCAGCGGTCAGCGCACTTGCACCGCGTTAAACTTGGCGACGCAAGGTCAATTCTCGGCCACGGACAAAATAAATATTCGAGCGACACCTACACACCGGCTTCCCCGTTCACCAACCCGCACTGATCAGCACGGTCAAGTACGGTCAACCAACAACCCCCTGGTGGGAGGCAGGGGGGGCGTCCAGATAGCACAGCGTCCCCACCCCGGGCTGGTTTCTATTTGAGCAGGAACCACCACCCCCCCCACCTCCCCCCCGGGGCGCTGAGCGGCGCCGCAAGCGAGCGGAACCGCGTGGCACAGGCAACGGGCGCGGTCGGGGCGGTGGCGCGTCACGCACTCGGTTCTCCTCCGCGTCTCCGCGCCGTCCGGCAGGAACAGCTTCACAGCCGAGATGATGCAGCTGTGCGTCACTGCAGCAACACACAAAAAACAAAGATGCCCCGTGTGGCCTCAGCAGACCGTGTGGCCAAGTGCCGCACCTCGGCGAGCACCTCGGAAGGCCGACGACAGTGCACGAGGGGCTCGAGTGGCCAGCACCGTGCCTGGCCGTCTTTGTGTCCCCAATGCTGGCCAGGTACTTGTGTAAGGCTGAATCGACTTAGAGAAGGCCCAAAATTGGTTTAGATGAGAGTCACTGATGTTATGCTGCAGTGTGGATACTGTGCAGGAAAAAAAAAGTGTGGATCAAGGAATGCTTGCACCGTGTTGTGGTGACAACACTCACGAATACACAATGTGAAACACGCCTTACTAAACACAACAAAGACAAATACCCCCCGTATAGCCTGTAACAGACTGTTGGGGCAAGTGCTGTTAGGGAGCACCTATGAAGGCCGGCACGGCACACGAGGGAGGTGGGTGGCGAGGACCATGCCCGGCCGCCTTCGTGTCCGCAGTGGCGATGTTTAACACACCGCACCCAGTACTCAATTGAGGCCGAGTCGACAAGCATGAAGCCCGTGCCTTACGAACAAGCGCATTGACACAAGGCATCGACACGGATTGCGGCTGTGGTAACCGGTGGGGGTGGGTGAGCCTCGTGCCCCACGTGGCACGGTCTACCATGGACCGCACGCAAAGGCCGGATTTGGTTCTGCAATTTATCCTTTTAACGAGAGAGATATTTTTCTTTTTTCGCTCCGACGCTGCCCCGATCGGGCTGCCGCCGATTGGCCCACACATTCACCCCCGAGGGTCCAATCGGATCGCTCGCACGGCAAAGCAGCGCTTCGCGTCCGAGAACGCCCCGAGGGAGGGGGTCCTCTTCCTGCGCGGCCACCTCGGGGTATCGCGCGCCCACCGGCAGCGAGAGCAGACCGCGCCGACTGTTTTCCCGGTGGCCGGCAGGGTTCGAGCCGCGAACTTCTGCAACAAGTGGCGAAAGCGCCACCGACCGGTGGGTCGCCGTGAACCCCTAATCACGACCAACGATTGCCCCTAACCGCGACGACCCCCCCCACCGGCCCCCCTCTTCACCCCACAACTGCCCCCGTCGCGGCGGCGAAGCGATCGCTCACCCCTCCGCGAGTTCTCCATGACGTCCACGCCGAACTGGATGACATCTCCGGAGAGGATCTCGTAGGGCGCGCTCTCCTCCGAGCCCTTGCTCAGCCGCTGATTGTTAACGAATGTCCCGTTGCTGCTCTTGGTGTCTTGCAGGTAGAACTGCGCACGCACGCGGAGAGCGAGCGGGAAGCAGAGAGAGAGAGCGAGAGAGCGAGGGAGGAAATGGCACCACGTGCCGCACGGTGTTAGTTAATCCGCGGTAGTTCCCGCAGACGTCCGTGTTGACGTAATCCACACTGGGAAGACAAAGGCGGCCGGGCACGATGCTGTCCTGGCCTTCCCGTCGTGTGCCGTGCTGGCCTTAATAGGTGCTCACCGACGCCACTTGCACCCACAGCTCTGTACAGCTCACTGGGGGAAGTGGTGAATTGCACACACACAGGCGTGCCTTTTTGGGCGAGCAAGTGACGTGTCTGTCTGTGCGAACGACCATGTGCACATTTGTACTCCCGTGTAGTTGTGCGAGAACAAGTGTATTTGCCGGTGTGTCCGTGCGTGTGTCTGGATAGCGGTTGTGCAGTGGTTATCGAACCCGACGACCAGAGTTTGATTCCTGCTCGTGACTAACACCGGTGACGATTATCTGAACTGGTCCGGGGCATCCCCCTATATCGACTTAACCTCAATTGAGTACTTTGGTGCGGTGTAGTAAACATCGCCACTATGAAGGCAAAGGCGGTCGGGTGTGGTGCAGGCCACCCACCACCTCGTGGGCCGTGCCGGCCTTTATAGGTGCTCGCTAACAACACTTACGCCCCAACAGTGTGTAAAAGTATACAGGGGATCCTTGTCTTTATGTGCGTGCATCGCAACAATTGCACAACTGACACCAGCGTGACTTCCTGCGTAGGTACAGCGCACGCACGCGCGCACCGCTACGCTCGAGACCGATGGACTCGCCGAGAGAACCAGGGATTCACACAGACAACGAGAACTGCTTCTTTTCACACAGGCTGCGAACGTGCTGAGATGTGACCGCATATAGGGGCTACTACGCCAATTCGGAGACCCACATACGGGGGCCATGGTGCTGTCACCACTGCTGCTCCAAATGGCCCCTTGTCGAGCCAGACGGCCGTCGAGATGAATCGCTCAGAGAGATTCGTAGCGAGCCAAGCGGCGGGACCCACCAACGGGAGAACACAGTGGACCTTAATAAACCTCCACACACGAAAAGATACACGGGGCAATGAACCTTTGAACCCAATTGACGTGGATGACATCTTTACTGCCTACCTATCAGACCGAGAGGACAGGTGGCTGAGCGAGTGTGCGAAGCGGGGAGGTGGATGAGTGTTTGAGTGAATGGATGAGTGGGTGAATGGGCGAGGTCGACGATTATCTGAAACGGTCCTGGGCATCCCTTAGGTCGACTCAGCCTCAAATGAGTAGCCGGTGCGATGTGGAAACATCGCCACTAGGGACACAAAGGCGGTCTGCTGTTTAGGCTATACAGTGGGAGGGGTCTTTGTCTTGAGTGACTGGGTGTGTGGGCGTGTGAGTATGTTAATAAGTGGGTGAATGAGCAGGTGTGCGAGTGAGCAGGTAGGTGGACGGGTGAGCCGAAGGGCGTGGGGGGGCGCAAGCGAGCAAGTGAATCAATGAGTGGGTTGGAGGTGAGCTAGTGTGTAAATAAGTAGGTGGGCGAGTGGCTGAGTGAGTGGGTATCTGAAAGAGTGATTAGGTGAGTGGGTATGCAAGGACGTGTGTGGGTCTATGGGTGATAATTATTTGACCGAGTGGGTGAACAAGTGGGCGAGCAAGTGGATAACTGTGTGGGTGGGCGGGCGAGTATCTGGGTGAGGTGGATAGGTGGGAGGGTGGGTTGAGCTTGTATGTTAATGGGGGTGGGTGGATAGTTGAGTGACTGATTTATTGGGTAAATGAATGGGCACACATGGGCACAAACACACACACACATATATATACGCATTCCCACACAGACACATAAATCGGACACCAAGAGACACACACGGACACACAATCGGGAAGATGCACTGCTGCGCAGCGACGCTGCTCAAGGTGCTTATCAGGAGTGCGGTGACACTGCATCATAGCCGGCATGGCGTTACACATCTCTGTCATTGCGCCGCCGCCGCCGCGGCGAAACCACCCAGCGGGCAGACCGCGGGAACGGCGCAACACCGAACTTACTTCTCAACGACCGAACTTATCGCCGGAACGTGTGGATTTGGCCGGAACGGTGCCGAAATTCGATGGCCGCTCGAAACGCAACCGTTTCCGGCTTGCGCCTTGGAACGTTGGAGCTGCGGTAGCAGCCTGGAGGAGTGAAATATCTTGAAAAATCGGACGGCCCAGGGCTGGGCTCTACCGATTACAACCCAAGTAATCGATGACTCTACTGACTATCGAACCGATTGCTCGACCCGTCGGAGAACGGAAAAATAATTGCTTGGCTTATGAGCTGGAGGTGACGGTAAAGACGCAGCCCTGCAACGGCCTCTGCTGGCGGAAGGAGCCTCCGCTGGAGGGAAATCTAGAACCGCTCTAAGAGGGCGTTTGGCCTACTCCTCCTCCACGCTGGCCACACGGCTCGGGAGAGGTGGACGAACACACGCTTTACCCCCCAACCACACCCGGCCTGCCGATCGTTTAAGGAAGCTTGCCCCGCTGTTTGAACTACCGCGCCGAACCGGCGACCTCTGGATTCATCAAAAAGGACCTCCGCCAGAAACGTCGCCTAACGTACACTTTTCCTTGTAAGGCCACGCACAAAACAGTTGTTATCGTTGAAAGTGTCGAGTTGTTTTCGTTACGCTTGTGGATCGCTGCCAATGCAGCAGCGGCGGCCTTCCGGCGAGCGGACCGTGATACACCGCAACAGGTAATCATTTAAGGCTGAGTTAACTTAGGTGAGGCCCATGATCGGCTCAGACATTCGCAACCGTTATTGGTCGTGAGCGGCAAACAAACTTGGCTCGCCGGGTTGGTCACGCAGTGCGTTAACTGCTGCGCCACCACTCCCCAAGCTGACCTACACACACACACCGACCTACAGACACACACACAAATATTGACCCGCAACACACACAAACACTGACCAGCATACACACAAACAATGACTTACAGGCAAAAGACAAAGACCCCCGTATAGCCTTAACAGACTGTAGAGGCAATTTCTGTTAGCGAGCATCTATCAACGCCGGCACAGTACACGAGGGGGTGGGTGGCCGGCAACACGCCCGGTCGCCTTTGTCTCCCCAGTGGCCATGTTTAACACACCGCACCCAGTACTCATTTGAGGCCGAGTCGACATAGGGGAGAGGCCCAGGACCGGTTCAGGTAATCGTCACCGGTGTGGCCGTGAGCAGGATTCGAATTCACCGGGGTTCGTAGCACAGTGCAGCGCTAACCGTTACACGACCGCTCCCCACACACATAAACACACACTGACACACGCGCGGACCAGCACAGGCGGGTGGCTATGAGTGCAGACGGGGCGGCGGCGATGCGGTGAGTCACGGGGTAGGAATGGTGCCCACACCTGGTGCCCATTGGCCGGTTTCACTGCAAGTTTCTGCACTGGCCGAGCCAAATCAAGAGCCGGCGTCGGCGTGAGCGGGGGCGGACGAGCCGGCTCGGCCCGGCACGCGGGCGTTTGGTCTGGCATGGCCGACAGGATCGCCGATTGGTGAAGAGACGCCACCGCGGTTGGGTGAACCCCCCCACCCTCCCCGGAACCGCCGGTCAGAGTTCACTCGATCCATTCAGCTGCTCCCAATCTGCAGCTCACTTTTGTTGGCGACACGATCATCGTCAGCGTCGTTATGGCTATGAAGACGCACTGATTTCACAGTCAAAAGGTGTTTGTTTTGATGGCAGGGACTCGCTACACCGAGTCTCCACGCGAGTCGGTGGATCTTTATGCAAGGTCAATATGTGAGTCTATGGGTCTCTATGCGATTCATTGGATATCTAAGAAAATGTATGACTATTTATTCGAGTCCACTGGTCTCTATGCGGGTCTAAGGATTTATACGCGAGTCTATTGGTCTCTACGCAAGTCTATTGGTCTCTTTGAGAGTGGGGCGGCTGAAACCCAGATTCAAACCCGGGACTCCGGTTCCGTGTCTGCGACACAGCGCTGGCCACAGAGTTACCCAGCCACGTTCTTATCGCTAAACTCTATGAAGGTCAGATTTGCATCGGGACAAAACAGAGACAACATGTTGCCTGGAGATTTACCCGCATCGCTGGTGGAGACGCAAACACACACACGCGCCCCTGATGAGCACGGTTGGCTACGTACGGTGCGAAAGAAGTTCGACGTACATACGTACAAAGCACACGCATACACACAAAGGCGCTTCTGCCAAAAAATCTGATGATGGGCAATATTCGCCTCGAAATTCTAGAGCTGCAGCAGCGGTGCGTCCCCGTGACCTCAGCTGACGCCGAAACCAACGTCAGCGGACATCCTCTGTCATCACCATCATCAGCACCCATGGTCTATCCACTGCTTTTTGAAGACCTACCTAGGTCATCACCATCGCTCACGGTCTCCCAACGCGACCATCCCGCATCTCGGCGCCTGCACGGCGAGCAGATTTACAGCTCCATCTCCGCGGCGGGCGTCCACTCGGGGCGCGTTCCTTTGCCTTGGCTGCGACGTTCGCGTCGACCACAGCCACCGTCCCACCCAACGCGCCTCTCTTCACAATCGCCCCATTTACTATTTTTGTTTTACAAGGTAAGGCCCGCTGAGCTAGTTTTGCTCGTTTTCAGAAGCGACCAGGCCACAAATGATTTCCCAACAAAGTGGCTTACCGTGTGGAGATGTTTTTTTTTTAATCAGCCAGTGGCTCTAAACACACGTTGATTCTAAATGTGAAGAGATAAACCGGAGGACCCGGAGAAAAATCCACACAAACTCCAAATATACAGCAGGCGTCAGGGTCGGGATCGAACCCACGACCTCTTGCATACTAAGGCGAGGGAGGTAACATCTCGCCACCATGGCGCCCCTATTTCTCCGACTTGTGTTTGCCTGGTGGTGTCACGGTTATCGCGATGGATTTGCATTCCGTACGATTCAATTTCTCGGTTCAGCGGTCGAAACAGGAGGGCCACTTTCTTAA